TTGCTCCATCTTTGATGTCAATGATTCACTGCCGTAGTGGTGGGCGGCGACAGTCAGGAAAAAGATTTCAGTGATAAAGTTTGAAGTGCCTTCGACCTTCTTAGAATAGAAAGCATCGGAAGCGTGCTGATCGGCGTTGATCTTAGTCTCATCCCGCATGTCAACGCGTGAATTGCGATGGAGATAATCTGCATCAATTCTGTCGATTTTGGTGAATGCTGCATCCATAAACGGCTCACAAAGCTGGTCGAGGCACGTTGTGATATTAAACATGAAGCCGTCGGACGACACTTGTTCAGGGTCAACCTGCATCGCCCGTCGTTTGTGATTGATGTTCATAGCAGTAGCGAACCAATCCAAAACACGATCCCGAGCCTCCTTCGAGGCCCGGATCAAGTGGTTCACAACATCCAGGAGATCAGAGCTGAGCATCTGCTGTGTCATTCGAAGCGATCGCTGTGCATTGGAAATGTATGCCTGGTCCCGAGTCTTGGGGCTAGAGAAATAAGACAAGGTGACATTAGCTTGAAGGGGCGAGAGGCGAAACCATGGACCCAAAAGGGTGGCTTTTTCAAATTGAGCAGGGTCCCGTGAGTTATTGAAAATAGAAGATTCTGTGATTGCAGCCGCAATGGAACCATTGCGAACAAGATTTCGAAGAGCCTGAACAAACTGGTCAGACGTGGTCCAGGGGAATTGTGACGTTTGACTTACAATGGCGTAGGGCTTGTAGTCATCGTTAACATCCATGGAAGAAAGCTGCGCGCTCAACTGCTCGACAGCAGATATGAAGGCAGGCTTGACAGAGTCGTCTTCGTCGAATCTCCGGACAGCCTCGTTAATAAACTCGAAATCAATTCCTCTATCATCCTCGGGGTCAATGAGAAGGTACGAGGCTAACGATGATTGCGGGGACCATTCGCTCCTATATTCCAAGTTGTCAGTATACAGTACCAATGCAGTGACACTGCATCAAAACGCACCCAAACATTTCTGGCATTGTAATCGCAAAGATACAATAGCTCATGCACAGGCGGCGTGCCTCACACAGAACCTGATACTTCGGGTCATTATCTCCCGTCCGCCTCAACCCCTTGTACACCTTTGTGATGCGCTTCCAGCATGGCAGCAGATAATCAAGGGGACGCTGTCTCTCGGTGCTTGATGCAGCTTCTAGAAGGGCTTGGTCTAGAACTGCGACCTGGATGCGCAGCTCCTGGCGCTCATCCTGCAGTTCATTCCGAAGTCCGGGCAAGTATGTGCGCATGCCATGGCTATCACGCTGTCCTTCCTCCTTGAGAGTCACTCTGAACACAGCACTTAGTGTTCGGTCTTCGAAGGCCTCGATGCTTTCAACTTTCTGTGGTGGAGGGGTGCTCGGGGTTGAGGGAGCAGCGGATCGTGGTCGCTCTGGTGTGGCCGTAACTGGTGTGATCTTGATCCGCTTCCCTTCTGACTGCTGCGGGGTTGGTGGCGCATTGAACAGACGGCTCGGTGGCTGAGCAGACAGTGGTGAATGTGATGGAGATGTGTTGGCTGAGCTCTGCGCCGACTCCGAGTTGGCGTCCACTGGGGACTGAGCTGGGTTTGAGAGTTTTGCAAGTCGCTTGTTGCGAATCTTTTTTTTTTTCAAGGACAGATGTTAGACCTCGAATTACTACGGGGGAGGGATGGCTTCATAATTTGACACCAAGCAACTAACCTTGTCCGCGTCGGAAAGAGTGTCCGACATATTAGCTGAAAGTCAGACAATAAGCCGCTTTCAAAGGGTTGGCAGGACCGCTAATCTGGTGGATCGGGTCGGCAGAATCTCAATATTGTGACCGTGTGGGAATCATAAGGGAGCGTCAAAGCGGAATCACTTCAAATCCTCGATGTGGGGGCAACGGAGTCTAGAATCCGCGGAAGATGAACGTCGCAAGATGAACACTTGTTTCCGTGATGATCGCCGAGATTCGCTTTTGTTCTGATTCGAGATTCAGCGCCGTGATCAATTTTGACTAAGCAAATTTCGTCTTCCACGGTTACTGGTGAGATGTGGGGTACAACGAAGGTACTTCTGAGTTCGCGGGGACTTTCCGCTTAGAATTATGTACCTTTGAAGTCACTGTTTACAATGTGCTATTGCGAATAGAACATATGTTCATTACAAGGCCTGCTCTACGATAAAACCCTCCTACATATAGGGTTACTGGGCAATTTGACATCAACAAGCTGAACCCTCTTTGTGTACTTTAGAATTATGGCCACAACCTCAAAGAACAGTGGTGGTATCGAGTATATCCTGGGATACATATCTATTCCACACAGGAACATAATCGGAAATGAAATCCAACGATCGCAATGAATCCTCATGCTATTCAGGGAGACAAATCCAGCAAGATCTTAGATGCATTCAAAACTCTAGGAATAATAAAATGTACAGCCAATGAACTAAAACTCCCATTGACACCCACCTTGGTGGATGGGCTAATGATATTAGAGTAGGTCCTTCCGAAAAAAGAACCCGCAAAGGAACAAGATGCCATAAGAAGGTGCAGTGTAAGCCCCCAAAGTCCAGAGTGTATTTAAAATCTCTTCGTCTTCAGCTGGTCCAGACGCCGGCAGCTCGGCATCTCCATGGCGCGAGCCTTCTTCATCTTCTCAACATCAGGGAAGAGCCACCCCTGTGCGTCCTGCAGCCTCCGTTCCCGCTCATGGGCTTCGGCATCACATTCATTTCGCAGTGTCCTGACGTATTCAACCTCCACGCGCGAGTCTAGCTCCCGGAAATTTCGGGCACTGAAGTTATCCACGTCGAGGGGATTCACAAAGTAATTGAGGTTGAGCTTCGGGGTCGTGCGGCCTAGGGTATGCGGAGAGACAGGAGTATCAAATCGATAAGAGGGTCCGGATGGGGTCGAGGAACCAGAGAAGAGAGAGGAGAGGAGCGGCAGAATGAACAAAAGAATAAGCGGCAATAGCTGACGAAGGAAACTGCGGCCATCAATTTGAGCTTCCTGCTCAGTGGTTGTGGTGCGAGGCCGACGGCGGGGCGCCTGGCCTCCAAATTGATGCACTCGGAACCCTGGGCCACCTCCCATATTGAAGACGAATTGCGGACCGCCTATAATAGCAAAAATCAGTTTAGGTCAAACAAATATTGGAGGAACGCATAGTCGTACCGAATCCACCACCGCCCATTCCGCCAAATCCACCGTTGAAGAACCGGTTAAACATCTCCTCGGCTGAGACCTCCTCGTCGAATCTTTGACCTCCGCGGGGGAATCCACCACCACCGAAACCACCGAAGGGGGATGTGCCGCTTGAAGCGCTCGGTCCGGGCTGAGACCTGCTATCAGGATCGCCGCCAAACCTGTCGTACTTGGACTTCTTTTCCTCGTCGGAGAGGATCTGGAAAGCACGCGAGACCACTATCATTGCGTGTAAGAATCAACATGTCAAGAACAGTACCGGGTTTGATCATTGCTCACTCTTGAACGCCTCATCCGCGCCTTCGTACCCGTTCTTATCGGGATGCGTCAACAAACTCTGTTTCCGGTACGCTTTCTTGATTTCATTGTCCGTTGACGAGCGCTCGACCAGCAAAATCTCGTAAAATGCTGTAGGCTGACATTTTCGGATTCGGAGCACAGCGGCCTTCTGGTCATCGGTGTACTTGCGATCCTGGTTGCCCTGCTTATGGTCGCGCGACGTCGCTCCTCCGCGTTTGGCATCAGAGCCTGATGCCGATGCGGATGGCATACCGACCGTAGCTCACGGTAAAAATTGGATAGATTCTGGACGGCGCTTGCTTGCTGTGGGACGGAAGAGGGGGAATCAAGATAATCTGGAGGGCCAAGAGTGGCGTGTGAGAGCGGATAAAGGAGAACCAATCCCGCACAAGATATGGCCGGGCTGGCAGATTAATCAAACGTGTGATGGTATTTGCAAAGTAAGATATCGGCCTGATGAAGATGCAGCGAGATCAGAGCGACAGATGTGGCTGATTCGGCGGGCATAAATTGGGGAAAAAGCGTGGTGTTAGGTGTCTTTGCCAAGCACCGGAACGTCGATTACACTCCGGGCTGAACATTGCGATAACATCACTGCCGAACTGACAAACCTGCCAACATTGCCAAGTCTCTGATATTCAATTGTGAGTTGTGTTGAAGTTCACCATTTTCAATTAAAGCACGGCCTTATTGATATACCTGCAGCATAGGCAATCCTTGGCTGTCAAAGCTCCCCAATCTTCCGCTTTCATTAAGATTAGGTTCGAAGCTCAATAGCTCATCATGGCGGCCGACGATTCAGTGGTCGAAGAGACCAAGCAGACAGTAATCCAGCGTTTCCGGGCCTGGGGTGGTAAGTGGCTTCTGTACCTTGCTTCATCGGCCAGCCGTCGAGGCAAGCATTCCTCCAAGTAATCACTCACTAATGACGTTTCTCAACACAGAAAACTCATTTCCACCCACGCTGCTCGCCTCCCTGATCGCGGCCCAGCACATGCGCCCCTTTCAGTTCTTCCCGATGCTTTTCCCGCCTGTGCTGATCTTCTCCAGCTATGCCAACCTGCAGGGCTTCAAGACGGACACTGCCGGCATCAGCGCGGCCTTCTCGGGGCTGTACCTGCTTCTCGCAGCCCGCCGTCGACAGCCGATCATGAAGAAGCTGGGTGTTCGGGGCGTCGTGCGCGGTGCTACTATGGGTTTGGCTTTGGTCAACATGGTCGGTGGTGGGTTGGCGTACACTCTTGGTAAGAGGGAGGAGGAAGAGGATGCGTCATGATTGAAGTGAGAGCTTATAAGGATGCGAAAACCGCGGCACCGCATTGGTACCGCGCTCTGTGATGTACCATATGTGTATCAAAAGTGGTTTAGTTGTACGTTTGGAGGAGACTCAAGGCCTCCGGAGTCAGTCGGCAGGGATTTGTTTATGAAATTAATTATGCATTATCATTACACAGGCTGGAGAAAATCCGTAGGAGTATCCAGTGGCTACTCCGCTGATGCTCATATCTACACTTTAGAGTCTTCAGAATATGGGTGTTCGGACAACACAAACTGTCGCACCTGTTCGGGAACCAGCCAGTCTAGGTTCCGGGGAGCGGTTTTCGACGCCTCTCGGGCTCTAGTTGAACTCACAGCGCGCTCCGTAGGAGCACGGCCATCGACGAGCTGGATCCGTTCGGCCCATTCCCTACGCATGCCCTCGCCATCTCGGTCACCTCTAGCAATGGCCGCCACATATTCGAGCTGCTCCTCTCTCCCACCCCACTCATCGCTCGGCCGCATAGTCACACGCAGCCGGTGTTTTGACAAGAAAGGCTCTAATGGCTTCAAAGTATGCTCAGGTGGATAATACTTGGGATCCAAGATCCGGATCAGAGTATCGTATCCCGTAAGATGAACCTGCTCCAGTGCAACGGGATAAGAACCCGATGCTTCGATAGCAGCCGCCTTGTCGACGAAATAGGGCTTTTTCGTGACACCGATATCGATCAACGGGAGAGTTTCGATGCCGTGTGTGAAGCCCGAGCCGGCGAAGGCCGGTGATGATTCGAGGTGGGCACGGAGGTCCCGAGCGAACAGCTCCATCATCACAAGCCGATCCTCGAAGGAAGCTGGCTTGGATGGCTTGTCTGCATTCTGGGTGGCGAGAAGAAGGAGCAAGCGAGGGCGGGGCTTGGGATTTTCGAGAAGTGCCGTGCTGGCAATGCGGAGGTGGGCGCGGGTGGGGGGATTGAAGGACGAGTCTAAGACATAGAGGGTCTCTGATTCTGCGGAGTGGTCGGGTGGGATAGTTGTTAGGACCTCAAAGTCTTTGATCGAAGTGAGAAACCGCTTCAGCAATGAGGAATATTGAATCCGAAGAGCTTGAAATGAGGACATGTCAATTGCGTAAGTGCCATGCACATGCTCTACAAAGTTCTAACCTCTGGAAGGTTGCGATGCGGCCCGTTATCCGATAAGATACCATGTCGTCACCGCCTTCGATATAGCCCGAGGGGGATCGGCATTCCGAGATTGAATAATTCTAGACATTAACATTCACCAAGGTTCACAGAATTGAGATCTACCTGCGCAATTCCTAGCCATGCCTTACAATTCATATTCATCCAGGCGCTGAGGGGCGCCGACAGGGGCAGTGACAGGGCCAATCGAAATTTCAAGCGGGATGTTTCATCTTGAAAAGCTTCTCCGTGTCGAGGACTAGGGCCGAGATAGGTGATTTTTTTTTTTTTCAAAAAATGTCTCCTTTTCTACCAAATTTTCGTCCTAGTTATGAATTCAAGCCCTTGAGCACGAGAACGCTCTCGAATAGTGCAAATCTCGCTTCACTACCGGGAAATGAGACTATATTGTATGTAGTTAGGCAAACGATAGACCAAAAGTCCAAGGGCCGTGCTTGGCCTAGGCCTCCTTTATCAAATCACCCTAGACTCTGTGGTCCGTACTCCGTATGTTGTACACTTGACCAGATTTTATGTACTCCGTACCCCCACTCCGTATAGACGGCATCTAAAGTGAACCAGGTACATCTTCATTTTTGTATATATGGAATACGCAGATATAATGCCCTGTAGAGTCCAGAATGTCCTTCTCAAAACTAATTTATATCCCGAGAAGTGGGTGGAAGCGGAGACCTGGGACACGGGTGCCTGATTTATATGAAACCTTTCCGGTGTATCGTATGTCGTATTATTACAAGTCGGGGGGGCTTAACATCAAATTTTCCAAATCCTTCCCGAAAGCCCCGGGGATCTGGCCGTACCTTTCTCTTATATGATCGCCCAGATTTTCGGATTGTGTTTCCCTATTTGGCATCTAAGTACTCCGTATGGAGTACGGAGTACATTGGTACAAGTTATCATCTTAGAACCTGTAATGGATTTTCTCAACCATTTCTGTGTCCGAGTATTGTCCCACGTTCATGTCCGTGCCCTAAAAAGCCGTTTGGCGACACTACAAAGATAATCAGTTCGATGGTCTGATAGCCCCTATTAAGCCTAAAAGATAGGGGACATGTCAGTGACGCCACCGACGCCACATCACATTTAGAAAAAGAGGCTGATAGGCATCGCCAATATCAAATACAATTTGTGTTTTGTTTCGTGAGATTAAAGGTCACTGCCCACGCAGCCACGGGCTATGGCTAAATTCAATCCAATCAGATTCCTGTGCCTGAGACAGTGGATCTCGCATATTCCGTCGATCCACCAGTATTACATTTGATAGTTTGATTATACTCCGTACGGAGGTACTATGTAGAAAGATATCATATTAATTTAAAAAGGATAATTTAATTTAACGAAATTAAGGAAATTAAAGAAATGAGTTAATTATCTTGGCCTCCATCTTTTCTCTTTCTTCATTCCTTCTTCAAAGCTATCTTGACCTACTTCTTCTTCTTTTTTTCCTTCTCTGTGAGAAGCCATACGTTCCTTCCCTGCGAATTGATTTCGCACTTGCTCTGTCGCTCTTTCCAAACACGCTCACTTAAACACACTCGCTAACCCTTGGGCTTCTTACTCTTCTCCCTCTCATCCCATCCTCACTTTCTCTTCTTGATTACCACCGTCGTTCCAATAACTTCATCATGGTTGTCTTGAACAAGTTCTCCGCTGTCCTTGTGGCCGCTCTGGCTGCTGTGGGTCAGGCCAGTCACGAGGGTCTTCACGCTCGTCGTGTCCACGCTCGCTCTAGCCAGCCTGGTGTCGGGGCTTCCACCTCGACCGTCCTCGTTGTGCCCACTGCTCTCGAGCCAGCTCCTACGACTACTTCCTCTTCGTCTGTGCCTGCTACTAAGCAGACTACCACTGTGCAGTCTTCTTCTGCTCTTCCGGTGGCTTCCAGCTCCACTTCTTCCGTTGCTTCCTCTTCGGCCGTGTCTTTCACCACCGGTGCGAGCTCCTCCGTTCCTGTTGGTTCTTCAAGCAAGCCCGTCGCTTCTTCCAGCAAGCCTGTGGTGACCCGCACTCCCGTTAGCTCTCGCCCTACTGGCCGCCCCACCAAGTCTTCTTCCGGCGTTCTGTCCAGCTCTGTGTCTGCTCCCGCTGGAACTGAAGTCCCTACCACCAGCGCCGTGACTTTGACTTACACCGTCACCTCTGGAACTTCCACTAGCGTCATCACCACCACCATCTACAAGACCACTACTGACCAGCCCACCGCCACTGCCGTATGTGCTTTATCATTTATCCTATCTTTGGTGAATTGTAAACTAACTTTTATATAGACTCAGTCTAGTGCTGATGCCTCGGCTACCAAGCCCACTGAGGACACCACCAACACTCGCACCTCTACTATTCAGGCCACTAAGACTGAGACTGTCACTCTCATTGAGGTTCCGTCTCCTACCAGTGAGCCTGGCTCTGGCAATGAGTCTGGTGCTTGCAGCGCTGTTACTGTTACTGCTACCGTCACTGAGACTGTGACTGCTGTATGTCAATCTTATCTCCTAACTGCCATGTCAGAAACTAATGTTATCTCTGTAGGGCGCACCGAGCACCTCCGCTGAGACCACCTCCGCCGCGTCCACCTCTGCTCAGACCGGCGCTGAGACCACCACCGCGGTTTCCAACTCCGAGACTGCTACGACTTCTTCCACCCGCACTCCTGTCGGCTCCACTCGCATCCCCCTCACCCGCACTCCTTCTTCCAGCGGTTTCGCCACCCGCACTCCTTCCGCCAGCCCTAGTGCCAGCGTGACGCCTACCCCTTCCTCTAGCGGCCAGGCCTCGTCCACCGGCACCCCCACTGGCAAGGGCTTCCTGCCCAACTGGCGCCGCCGCTTCATCTAAACACACTGCTAATCTGGGGAGAGTCTCCACCTCCACATGGCAGTGAGTTGCGGGCCCGTCGATGATCTGAGAAAGTTCCGATTTCCTTCTACTCGCGCAGAGGCGTGCTGGTACTGTACCTATTTTTTTTTTTTGCCAAGTTTCGGTACAAACGGTTTCGATTTCACTTCTTATCTACGCTCCATTTTTTGCCATGTTTCTTCTTTTCGACTTCTATTCTTGCAATGGTCATCTCGTGCTAGATTGTTCCTTGGGCCCAAGCTTTCCTTGCCTGCTTGCTACGTTTCGCAGGCGAATCTCAATACTGGACCATGGCCCCCAATCTTAAGAACTTCTGGCGTGATATCCCCTTGCCTTACATTTTTACTCCCAATGTGAAATTGATCCATTCATACGACCGGTTTCCATTGGACTCGGAAAATTCTCTCACGTATCGTTTTGATGGGTGGTGACACATCAGCTTTGAGGACTGGATCTCGCCTATTGTCTATTGTGTTTTGAAGGGAAAAATTCATCTTCTTTAATCTTTACAGATCTTCATTTTGCGAATGATCTCATAGTTTGCGCTGTTTTTTGTCTTCGTGTTTTTCGTTCCGTGTGGAGGGCCGATGGTGGTGAGCAATATCGGTATCCTTAGGAATTGACCTGAATTGACCTGAGGCTTTTGCCTTCTTTTAACAAATAAGTTCGCTTGTTACAATGAGTGAAAAACATAGAAATAGAGTGCATAAGGCTCTCCACCTGGGAATCCTGAAGGAATAAGGTAAATGGTCTACGAGATATGAGATACCCTGCTAGCGAGTAAAATATGTACAGCCATGCTGGTGTGCAGAACAGTAAAGGCAGCAAAGAACAGCCCATGGCGCCTCCCGTAAGCACTACCGCAAAACCTGCTAGTCATACTTTAATGGATGTAGTAGGCTGTGGATCCAACCCGTCGGCAAGCTACATTCAATTCGATGAGAATTCGTCTAATTCATTGTTGCTTGGATATTCCTATTTGTGGCTTACAAGTGTCTTGTCTCCTATGATCAAGTCCAAATGGAATACGACATTGCAGCGGGCTGAAAGACGGCGGGATCCATGGCCATGCTATCTATATAGGACTGGGCCCCGGATGCGCTGTGTGCCCTGGCTTTTGCCCCTCCCCTTCTATTCATCGAAGCCTATTTTGTCATCGTCCAAGAAGATAGACTTTCCAAGACTAGACACAGAGAATGCCGCGTTTGCTGTCAAAGAAAAACACTGTGCAGCGCTCATGTCGCCAGGGGATGACCCCTTCTCCAAGCCAACAGCAGAAGAAATAGACCCGTCCCACAGCTTAGTTGTGCCTTGTGCCGAGATATCCGGATGCTTGAGAGCCTCTTGCAAGAGTCAAGGGCCGACAAAGCCAAGAACAATGAGACGAGCAGGAATGCAGACGCTCAAGGAAATCTGCAAACCGGAAACCCCGGTGGCGATACCATGGCAAAGTGCCCAAATGGCAGGGTTACAATAAGAAGAGAAAGGATTCTCGACTAACAGGACTGCGAGGTATTGCAGATAGTCCAACCGACTCTAGGCTTAGGGACGCAACCGCCTCCGGCCCTTCCAACCCCAAGTTCCGCTAGACGAAGCCCGGAGATATCTGGTAATGACATCTGGACTGAGCTTACGGGTCATGAGGTAAGGGCACCTAGTGCACGTCCTCAACATTGTGATTCAGAAGCATTATTCAACTCTCGCTAGATGCATGACCCGTGGAAAACAAATGGCTTGGAGCTGTGTTTCGGTCGGGTAAGCGAGGGAGGGTTAGAGATAAACTCATTGCGGCGCAAGGAGTCGGTAAGCAACGGGTTCAGCGCTCTCGGCCTTTTGGGCATTGATAATCCGTTGTCCCTCAGCTTCATGTCACTGCCTCGTGACAAGCTTGGAGCAAGCAATTTATGCCAGGTATACCTCCAAAACGTGGATCCAATAATCAAAATCCTACACCGGCCCAGCCTCAGCGAATGGATGCTGGACGGGGCATCAACATATCTGGGATCATCCGAGGATGACAGTTCGGTGAGAGCGCTGGCGTCTGCGGTTTGCTATGTTGCAGCCAACACCATGACAGAAGCACAGTGCCAGGCCACGTTTCAACAAAACAAGTCTAGCATCACGACCGTGCATCGCAAAATGTGCGAAAGCGCCTTTGAGAAGGCCGGCTTGCTGACGACGAGAGATATGACTGTCCTTCAAGCCTTCATTTTGTATCTTGTAAGGATTCACACTGCTGTTTCTGACTGCCACTAATCCACTGCAGATTGCTAGACGATCCGAAGACAAAGACACCGCTGTCTGGGCACTCGTTGCCCTAGCCGTTAGACTTGCGAGAGCCATGGGGCTGATTCAGGAGCCAAATGAACAAGCCAGCGGTCGGGAGTCTTTCTTTCAACAGCATATGCGACTGCGGTTGTGGCTCACGGTTTGCCTTGTCGACATTCAGGCATCGTTTGCGCAAGCATCCGAGCCACTTATCACCCACAGCGGCGCAGCATGTGCAATTTCAAACGTGGCACATATCAATGAATCCGATTTCGATATGAATACCGAGCACCCAGTCGCTTCGCAGGAGCAGCTCATGGACACGACGTTTGCTCTGGTGACATATCACGTACAAGTAGCCGGCCGGGTCCTCAACTTTGGCTCACCCGAGTGCAGCACTGCCGCAGAACGACATAGACTGGCTCAAGAAGTGTAGCCAAGCTCCGGACCGAAACCACACTACAACTTGTGGTGTTCTCCAATAGCCAAACAGCGTCAACAGCAAGTGTTCACCTTGCTGCACTACTGTGATCCCGAGTCCTCTCCCTATGCCTGGTTCACCTGGCATAGTACACAATCAATTGTATCGGCGATCCGTCTTTCAGAGTTGCTACCATCCCGATGTAACCGACCAGACAGCCGTGTCTCAGTGCCGGTACCGCGAGAAGAAGGCGAAACAATTCTGTTGCAATGGGCCCTGCGAAATCTAGAAAAGGCACTGCTGCTCTGCACCGATCCTCGTGGGAGCGGCTTTCGCTGGTACATCACCACCCCATGCCTCGCACTTTCCACGGCAATTGCAGAGTGTAATACCTGCAGTGACGTGGAAACTATGCGACGGGCGTGGCCAGTCATTGAACCTTCATATCGACAGCACGAAGAGTTTCTGATTTCGCATGATTGCCAATCAGCGCAAGGACACCTGGTGCAAATGATGAACGAGACTCGGGAGAGACTGTCCTTATTACTTCAGGAGAGTGGTATTGGATTCAGTGCAGGCCAGGCAGGCGAGATCCCTGCTACTGACACATTGTTACCCTTGGTTGCTGCGGGGAACAACCCAATTGATCCTCTATTAAGTAGCAGATTGCCAATCACTGAATCCGCTACACCTACGGCGTCTTTCAGCGTATCCCAGCCGCAATTCGGTCATCAGAGCTGGGACATGACGACGATGCCAATGGACGATGTACCTGCGCGAGACGGGATCCTGCTGACGACGGACGTATTTGATTCTCTGCAGTCGGATTATTTTTGAACCATCTTCCATGGCCAGCCAAAGCCTAGCGCCGGTGGAAGAAGAGTTTCTTGACTGAACGACTAGAACAGGACACTGGAATTCAGAGGTATTATGACTATGGGTTATCAAATGTAGTCGCTTACTACACTTCGTCGCAGGTAACAGCAAAGCACTGGATTGGCTGTAGCATTGTAGCCCAGCTACTTTGGGGCCACCTTTCGGGACCCCCCCAGATAGGCGTCAAAGAAAGGCTCTATCACGCGGTTCCTATGATAATTAACTCGAAAGATTTTCAGTATCTATACAGTCTCCACCTTCACGGTGTCTGATACTCTCGCTATGACAAAGTAGCTTTCAAATTGATCGACCTCTTTCAGTCGACGGTAGGATCCTTTTCCGAATATATAATTCATCACCCCAGAAGGGTAGGCTGTCGGATTCAACTTCGTCTTGGGCGGATAGTGATCTCTTGCCATCTCGGGTGCGACGGTTTTAAACGAAACCAGTCTAGGGCCGCTGGGGTTTTCTCGCGCGGAAATTGCAGGAACCGGAAAAAGAGCTATCCAATAATGGCCGATAAGTTGTATCTTCGGGCAACGGGTTTAATTTTGCTAGACGATGATGCAAAAACAAAAAAACACTGCAGCTGGACCTGCATCGGGCCCGATCCAGGGCTGTCTCCTATTGGAAAACGCATCGCTTGACGGGCAATCCGGGCCCGAAGCAAAATCCGGCTTCGCGATTGGCTGGTGTACATCACTCATTGGTCTGTTCAAGAGGTATATAACTAAAACAGGTTGCTCCAAAGGGTCAAGTCTTGCTTCTTCAAGCTCTCCCAGTCCATGATTTTCAACCCCAAGATCAGTGAGACGAGCAAAATGAGCGAAAAACATTCAACGGCATCCGAGCCGTCCATCACCGTTCCAGAGGACAAGAGTGACCTTGAAGCAGGCCCCAAAACGATCGTCACCCCCGAGCCTCTCATCGACGCCGAAGACGACAAAGATCCAAATCTCGTCACCTGGAACGGACCCGATGACCCAGAAAACCCCAAGAATTGGCCGACAGGACTGAAGTGGAAGAATACCTGGACGATTTCTCTTTTTGTCTTCATCTCGCCCGTATCGTCATCCATGATTGCTCCCGCGCTGGCTGATCTCGCCAAGTCGCTGGGGATGCACAAAGAAATTGAGACATACCTGTCATTGAGTATCTTCATTCTCGCCTACGCCATCGGCCCCATTTTCTTCGGTCCGGCGTCTGAGCTGTACGGTCGAGTACGTTTACTTCAGGTCAGCAACGTGTGGTATCTGGCCTGGAATCTGGGATGTGGTTTCGCGAAGACCAAAGCTCAGCTTTTTGCTTTTCGATTCCTTGCAGGCATTGGTGGTAGTGCGCCACTAGCTATTGGAGGAGGAGCTATCAGGTAAGAGAATGATAAGCCAGCATTTACACTCCCGCAGAAGCTGACCCTCACTGGCAGCGATATGTGGTCTGCAGAAGAACGTGGTAAAGCCATGGGTGTCTATACTCTTGGACCACTCATGGGACCCGTCATTGGACCCATTGCTGGCGGGTTTATTGCCGAGTATTCAACCTGGCGCTGGGTATTCTGGTCCACCTCCGCTGCGGCTGTCGCAGTGCAGATAGTTGGGTTCTTCTGGTTGAAAGAATGCCACCCGGGCACGCTTCTACGAAAGCGACGCGACGCCCTTGCCAAAGAAACAGGCAATGAGAACCTTCACACCGCGGAGAAAAATGAGACCCTGGCTTACAAGCTTCTTCATGCATTTGAGCGGCCGGTACGGATGTTCGCAACACAGCCTATTGTCTTCTGTATGGCTATCTATATGGCCTACCTCTTCGGCGTCACGTATCTCATGTTTGCGACCTTCCCAGCAATCTGGACCGTGGTCTACCACGAGAGCCCCGGAATTGGCGGTCTCAACTATCTCTCAATCGCGATTGGATCCTTTATCGGGCTCTTCTTTAATCTCAAGCTCGTGGACCGTATCTACAGAATTCTTAAAGCCCGGAACAATGATGTCGGCAAGCCCGAGTTCCGAATGCCGTCCTTGGTTGTGGGATCGGTGATCAGCACCATCGGGCTCTTCTGGTACGGCTGGAGCATTGGGAACACCCACTGGATCATGCCTAACATCGGTGCGCTGATCTACACCATGGGCACGATCTCCTGCCTGCAGGGCATGCAAACGTACATTGTCGACAGCTACCAAACCTACGCGGCCAGCGCCATGGCTGCCTGTGCTGTGCTTCGGAGTTTATGCGGCTTCGGATTCCCGCTCTTTGCCCCCTACATGTACAACACCCTGGGTTATGGGTGGGGCACCAGTGTGCTGGCCTTTCTGACCATGATTTTCGGATGGGGGTCGCCATTTATTTTCTGGCAATACGGTCCCCGGCTGCGTGCCATGTCTGCATATGCCTCTGGCTAATTAGGCAGGATTTGGCACGCGAGGGGGGCTGAGTGAGAGACCTCAGCGGTTGCGAGGTGGAACTGATTTCCGCCTGGATTGAGTTCGCCAGACGGAAGTTGTCAATGGGCGGAAGGAAGGACGAGCGGACGGATGGTACGGGGTATTTGTATTATTATCCAGCTGCCATAGAGAAATTGCCCCTATCGAATACGAGGTTGTCATGATTTAATTTGTTGATGACCCGTTCTATGAATTATTCGCTCTCATTCAGATAGGAACAGCCCATAGAACCGGACATTCGCAGAACTCCGGGTCCATGGGAGCCCGCATATGTATTTCTTGGAGCATACCTATCTATACCTCTGACCCTGACCCTGGCTACATTGGGCTTCTGCGCGGCAGGGCACCATAGATATTGCATAAGCGAGGAAGTCCCGAGTCCTAAGGGAGATGGAAGTTTGCTACAGTATCCAGATGGGATAAATGCTCTTTTTGGATTTATTTAACGCCCATCTAGCCCGAATATTTTCTCTGCGATTGCCCACCTAAATTATACTCAAGCTAGAGCGGGCCAGGATAGATGTGACAACGCATCCAACTATGGAGGGAATTGGGGTATCCACACGCCCCTACCTCAATTAACGTCGAAGTCAGAAATTACCTAAGGTCAATGATCAAGAGACTATTAGCAGGTCAGCACATATTAAAATTCTTCTGGAGCCGTGACTTTGAGACCCTCTAACACCCCTTGCCAGCTTCGCTATTACCACCATATCGCGCACAAGGAAAAATATATTCCAGTTGATGATATCTCGGGCAATAACACAATTCATCGGTATAGTCGATCCACCAGTGCATGGTTGCCGCCCTCGCCGCCGAAGATCGGCATCGCATGCCACGAGTCCCCGATGAACACCACGCCTGCCTGTGCAGCTTGCAATGCATCCGCCGTCGGCATGATCACGCATCGACTGATCCAGTGGAATACTGAGTGCTTTCGGATGGTCTCCGGGTTGATGTACCGTGCCCACGGCTCTGCGAGCTGCCGCGACGACAACTCGTCCAGGAGTGCCTGGGGTGGCTCTCGCGTCTCGTCTTCCGGTTTTTTGACATTGAACAATCGGTCATTTTCGCCGCACGCTGGTCGGAAATACGACCGGTCGAGGTGCACCCGCGTCTTCGTGATATTGCAGGCCGTAATCGGCGTATTGAACCCGTCGCCCACGCCAGCAAGAATATTAGCATTGCCGATGACAGGACGCATGTACCGGTCGTACTTGTCGCGCGACACCTCGAACTCGCCATGGTAGACCACCACAGGCACCACTTCCGGGACGATATGTGGCAGAACTTGCGAACGCACTGCGTTGGGCAGGTGGTCAGTTAATATGTGTCAGTCGAGTTACGACCGAACATGCAGATGGTTTCAGCCTTGCGTACCCGTTGAATGCACACCGTCAGCGGCAACGACCACCGAGCCGTCATATGCAGCTCCATTCTCGAAGACTGCCCGCACGTTGCCCATTGACCCCGAGATGCTCTTGAGCCGATGTCCGTAACGCACATCCAGCTGGTCGTCCCCGCAGTCGGCAATCCAGGCCCGCAATGAATTGCGATTCGCTCGCACGACCGTTGGCGGGGAATCTGCGTCCGGTTCGACGAGTACCTGTCCCGTCATGTTATCGCGCATTGCAAGGTCTACCCATCCAGTGCCGCCGATGAAGCGGTCCGGCCCAACAGCCTTGATCATACTTTGGGATAGCCCGCCGAGGGCCTCGAGCAACGGGTAATAGCCCCAGTCATGCATGGAAATGGCAAAACCCTGGCTGCGTTCCGGCGGAGAGGCTTCGAAGACGATGTTTGCAATATTATTATTTGTCAATAGTCGCCCAAGGGCAAGGCCCGACAGACCCGCACCGATGATGAGGACAGGGCGTGAATCGTCCATCTTGTGCATAGCGTCGGGCGGGGAAGGTAGCGGCACGGTGAGATGCTGAGTGATAACACAGCTCATAGATCATAATCTTTTTTTCCATTAGTTACAGACCCGTAATCTTAAAGTGTGCGCTCGCTGTTGTCGCGTGCTGCCTAAGTCCCGGCCGAACAGTCCAAACCCGCAAAATCCGAGGGCCACCCGCTGAGAACAAAGCCCGTGAAGGACTCCTTGCTCTTAGCCCAGACAGTTTCCTCTACACATTTGGTCCCAGAATAGCCAATCGGAAGACGAATCGAGATTGAAGGCGCTGTTTATATTCGGGTCGGTCCTGTTTATGTCGTCGAAAAGCTCGTTGAAAGAAAAAGCCCCATCCGCAGCTTGGTCGACCGAAAATACGCTGTCATCCCGCTTGTCGATACCTTTGGATTCGCGTTGAGCGCGCAGTGCGGTAATGAAAGCTGGCTCGGGAGATGAATTACGAGGCGAATTTACTAGCCAGGCCTTCAAAGTGACCTTAGCAATCGTAACGTACAGGGTTCTTCGGCCCTGGACCAGTGCTTCGTGATTCGCGTAGACCTCTGAAACCCTTTTCCAGGCATCATCGAGCTCTGATGGCGAGTAAAATCCAACCTTCGCGATGCTTCTCAGAATACAGAGGAGGGAATCCCACAAGAAAAACGCTTGCATCTGCCACCGAAACTTTTGCGTGGCGGGATTGCTAAAGATAGCACTGCTGGTGTCGAGTACCTTTTCGGCAAGGGTGCAGAGTTGTCTCCGCTGTGCGTCGGTGATGGTTTCTTGCATGAGCAGCGGCGTCCGCGCACGCAACCGGACGGCACAGATAGCCGATCGCATAACGCCGGTGGTCAGAAAGTGTAAGGGGTTCAAGATGTCACAGTACCGCAAAAACTTCGTCTCAATGATGTCTTCGACCTCGTCGATCAGCCGCTCAATATCCTCGGGATCCCGGAACTGGATTGTACCCCCTTTTTCCTTCAGCTTGACCCCTGTTCGAACGTAGAAATTTGACAGCTCCATCCGAGACAAGCAAAAGATCATCTCCGATGCGCCTCGTCGGTCATGAGGCGGCTCGGTCATGCCAGGGAAGATCTGGTCATCGTTAATGTTTAACGGTTGCTTAGTATCCCAGCTATCGGGTGAGAGGGATATACCCGTGCCAGATGTTTGACCCGCGTAGCCGTCCAGGGGTAGCAGTTGCCAAAAAAGCCGCCGGCGCATCTGGACCTCAAATGGGGGCAATCCGAGGCTTTCGCCGTTCCGGTGCAGTCCTATGCGTTGGGCTAGGCGAATTGCAATCCCAGTCAAAATCCAGAAGGTATGAGAATCGATCTGAGTGCGCAAAGCGATCAGAAAGAGTATGTAAGCCTGTAAAACCGGCATCGCGGTCGTCTTGAGCCAAGACACATTTACTAATGCCTGGGTGACTGCGGTCCGGTATTTAGATATCAAGTGGGTCCTCGAATTATCGAGTTCCCGTGAACACTCGTCGTCCGACATTGAGAATACGGCGAAATGATAGATGGCAAACAGCACGCATTCATCGTTCTTCGAGGCGGTCGCTGGGTGCTTAGAGACGGTGTCAACCATCTTGGCGACCGTCGGAACATGAAGAACCTTGCAAAGTGGCTCGACGTTCTCCACGTAGGTATGCCAGAGCTTGACCGCATGCTCATAGCTAGGGTGAAGGTCGGTGAGGCTTATCGTTCTTCTGAGAATTGCGTCCGAGATAGAATGCGCGGCAAGGGCACCGAGAAGACCGGTCGGAGTGGCTTTGTCGGATCCAGGCTCGTCTTCGTGATAGTTTTCTTGCTCGGACCCGGACAACTCACATAGGTCACCTTCCCCAGAGTCGAGGAACAGAACATTGTCAATGTAGCGAGAATTACCATTAATGGAAAGCAGTTTATTCGCCGTGGCGTCAACCTGCGAATTCGCTGGCCCTGGAGTCGGAGCCTGTATGCTGTTTGCTGAGGCCTCCAAGTCTCTACTGCTGGTGATCGAGGCAGCGGCGGTCGGAAGGAGGTTGTGGTCGTGCAAGATGCGCTCGTAACGTGCCAGCCGTTTATGTACGTCTTCCTCGTCCCGGCTACGTTTCCTCTTGCGCCGTGGCAGCCGTGGCTGATAGACACATTCGAGCTTGGTCTTGATGCAGCTGGCGCACTTAGGCACCGCGCGGTCGCACTTGATCTTCTTGCGCACACAGGCTTGGCAGTTGAAGCTGACTGGGGTCAACGGGTCGGCTTCGGAGGAGCCATTGTGCGCGTCAAGGGGGAGGGTCCTTGCGGGGGCGGAAGCAAGTGGGATAAGATGGGGGACAGCCTTGGTGTCCCTTGTATCCTCCATTTATGGGGAACCAATGTTTCCGCTCTCTCATGTGTTTATCAGTATCGTTTCCTTTCGTAGTCTGTGTTTGTGTCGCACTGACTTGGGGAGGCACTTCCCTGTCATTCCTTCGCATTAAATGATGTTCCGCCCACGAGACTACCCGGCGAGTCATTGAGAAAGAACCCTGGTCAGTTTCCGCCGAGACCTCATAACCCCATTACCCTTAAGCAATCGCGGTTTGACCTCGAGGGCGAAACGAAGTTTCTCTTCACCCATGTTATCCCCCACAACGACTATTACTCAGGTGCCTAAGCGTCCCATAAGGGAAGAGGATATTTCCAAAATATGCAGCCACCCCAGCCTCAAAAAAATCCCTCTCGAACACATTTGGCCGAAGATGGAAAGCGACCTCACCATATGTCCCAATAGCGAGAGTCCGGATATCTACATCAAGCGTCCTCGCCTCACTGGCTACAAGGATTCGGCATGTCTCAGTCTGTGGCTACTCTCATCTTGATAAGCATCAAGAACAATCTGAGGGCGTACCATCTTTAGTATGTAAACCAGAAATCAAGAATGGGGATAGAATGTGATATCGTGGGTTGACTATGCTGCAGCTGGAGGAATATGGACCAATAGAGCGACCCAGATGGCTACTTCCATACCCCAAAAGGTGAAGCATTTTAGTTTCAAGCCAAGTTTGAGACAAGCCACTTCTAAAATTGGGGTAGAGTGTTCCCAGCCTTCTTCCAACGATATCCTTCGTGCGGCGGGGGATTCTTGAGGGCCTACGGTTCTAGGTCTATGATATTCCGAATGGGCCAGAAAGATTATTATAGGACTTGACGTAGGTTGACCTTCGAAATTGTAAGAAGACTGTAGAATAAGTTACCAAGAGACTGTTTTTGACTTGTCCAGCCTCATACATGATGCGGCTTAAAAAATTACGACAATAAGGTAAGCGAGTCTCGAAGGCGCTGGCCTTGAGTGATGGGCCCGAAACCCGCTTCCTGTAAATTGCACCAAAGCCAATCGGAAAGGCAAGGTTCGCAATGCAGCCCATGATAAGATATGAGATATACAAAATTTACAAGACTCCTCGTGCCGGAAGATCCGCGATTACTATTGTTCCAGAATCATGATCTTGACCTACGAGGGTATGCGAACTTCCAAGTGGAGCTTCGCTCCTGGGTTCCGAACTATTCTAATGGGCTAAATCTCGCTCATGGAGACTTCGCAATCAAACTTGCAAATAATGCAGCAAAAGGGCTTCCCCTATCATCTATGGTTGTGCGACGACCCGATGGGCTCGTACTCAACGCACGGGAAGTTGATGTTATTGAAGACAGGGTTATTATCTACAATGGCATGTGCGAGGGCTCCTGGAGTGCTCGGACACTCCCGGATATACTCAGGTTTCTTTGCGCCTTTAGACCGGTGTACTTCGATGGTCAACCCCGAAGCCAGGCGTTATGGCTTACTCTCGCATCTGGCTTAATTAAGGCGGGCGGACTTGAGAACTACGGCTGCTCTGGAAATTTACCGCCCCATGTTTGGACTTTGGGTGGGCGAATGTCTTTCTACTTTGGCAGCAAATGACCTTGCCACATACTTCCGTATTCTGAAGGATCTTCGGGGGCCGATAGAAACATTAGCCCAAAGCAAGATGGATTTCTTTCCAGGCCTCTCTATGCTTGTGAACTTTCCCAAAGTGCGTACACCACAAAGGGATGTAACTCTTGCTCGTGAGAAACTCCGCAACATGATGAATGAACCGACAAATATCAGTCGTCCAGTACTCTTTCGAGCTCGGGAAGGTCTTCTAGGCAAAGGCACCAAGAATGTGCGAAAAGGCGATGAGGTGTGGCTCATCGCTGGAATGCCGACCCCAGTTGTGTTGCGAAAGACAGAGCGTGAGGATTGTTTCACGAGAACTGATATTGTCTATGTTCACGGGATCATGCACGGAGAATTTGTTGACCAGAAAGGATCGTATACAGAAGAGATTGAGCTCATCTAGATGTAAGATCGCGTAACTCTTTTGTCAGACTAGAACAGAAGGAGTAGCTAAACCGGCTCTCAGCCTAATCAACAGCATTGATATGGCTACTGTGAGTGACTAGCTGCGCGTTCATCATACTTGTACCTCAAACCAGGGTCTCAACTAAGAATGCGATAGGCCATTATACAATTATGAGGGACTTGTAGCCCCACGAATTATACCCGAGTAAGCGTCAAGGAAAGTTTTCTTCCAAAGTCACTGTACACTTACGCTACAGGACAAACATTCCGGGGTGGGAAATCACTCTAAACGTCACGAAGGTAAAAAGGGGCGAGTGATACAGATGTACCTTGCAAATTGGACCTCTCATATCCAACAGGACCACTAAGCATGTAGGGTACTGGCAAGGATTCGTTTCCTCTGCGACCGGGAGGGCAGGGACCCCTGCTGCGTACATTGCAAACAGATAAGGCGTCTGCGCCGAACGAAAGTGATGCCACCTGGTCCGCACATCCTAAAGTATATTAAGGTCTCATCGGTCCCAAGCGTGCGTTTCTTTCGGCCTCTCATAGCACTATGGGACTCGCACAATGAACTGTGAACCGCATGTTGCTGCATTGGTTTGTGCAGAGAACATTGCTCTCAATTACTTGCTGCATGAAGTTCCTGAGCCACCGCAACAAAAGCCCACCGAACGGGCTCGAGGCTCTGAAAAGGAGTACATACTTTCCTTCTCTAAAGAAAAGGAACTGGTGGAGGTCCTCTCCTTTCTTGCCAAGACTAAAGATGGGTCGGATTATATTCCTGCCATGTGTGTCGAGCAGGACCTCAATGGTGCAGCATTGAAGGCTCTGCTGGCGATAAATAAAAGATCATATACAGATGGAGATGGCTTACTTCAAAGTTTGAACACGGGCTTTGAGAACATTTTTCAAGTATTTCGAAGATCACTATGTGGTTCGTTTATCTCTGACATTGGATGTAGCTTCTGATTCGAGTTTAGCCAGAGCGAGGCAGCTCCACTGGGATCACGAAACAACTTCTCGAGATGATTGTGCAAATGTGCTCTTCTCGAATTGCTTCTAGATTGCGGCTCACTGGCAAAAAATGGGGAAATTCCAAGGCGTCCATCAAAGACATTCTGCATTACCTAGCCTGAGTTTGCTGCCAAGGTTAAAATGAATGATACCTACTATGGTATCGAATCCAACGCCTCAACCCCTTCCCTCGCGATCCGCTCCCGCATAATCTGCCATTCAACCCATGTCACACCTTGCAACAGGCAATCCGCCAGATCATCGAGTTTCCCTAGATCAACCGCAGCCACCTCGTCCATACCAGACTGAGCAGATAAGGGTGATGACGAGCGAGACCCCCTCCCTTTCCCCTTCGTCTGCGTCTGACCCTGCCATTTCCGCATATATGCACCCGCAACACCATGCAGAGCAGGAGACACAGATTTATCAGCCAGCACAATCTTATTGACGGCAGCAATACCTAGCTCTAGTTTCCGAAGACCGTCGTCCGTGTCTGGACAAGCATTGGTGTTCTGCATCGCAGCAGAAAGCCACCGTCCAACAATATCGATCTTAGCCTTCTTCACCTCGCGCGCATTGGGTTTCTTCTCCTTCTTTTCCTTAACATCTAATTTTTCGCACCCCTTCCCTTTCCCAGGAACCGACTCAGAGCCACCCTCAAGCCAATACCTGACTACCCGACTCGGCTCAATACCTCGAACAACCAAGTCGGCGACATTGCCGCCTCTCTCCTGCCGTAGCGTTTGGAGAACGGCATACAACATGCCCTCCATGATGCCAACGCGCAGTGTCCATTCAAGAACGGCACTCCCGCCGCCTGAACGGAAGCGCTGGCGCTCTATGAGCACGTGCGTGGGGCGGTAGGCAGCTATGAGTGATGTAATTAGGGTATACGCATTTGCGGCGTAGATGTCGGGGCTGTATAAATTTTCATCTTTTGTAGATTTGGCGATCTTGACAGTCATATCTTTTTCCGTTTCTTTTGGGAGTATAGCTTGCGATGATTCTGTGACGTCATCAGACCTTGATACTGATGCAGCGGGCTTGATTACACCGGTATTCTCTCCAGGCATTAGATTCAAGTTTGATATCTCAGAAACGGCGAGTCGATGCCAGGCTGTCAGTACGGGTGCTTGGGGGTGCGTTGCGTCAATCCCGACATCTGGGGAATCAGAGTGAGACACGAGCAAATGTGCGAATGCGAGGTTCTGAATCCCCATATCGATGCTGAGGATACTCCATGGTTGTCGTGTGGGGTTTGGTTTTGACGAATCTGTTGACTTGGTCTTTGTCTTGGTCTCGCTTGAGCAATTGTTTGCCGACACCTGTCGATCGACCTGTCGATTTTGGCTTATGGTGCTGGCACTCGCATTGGTACTGTGATTGGAAATACTAGTGACACCTTTTGCAACACAATCCGCGGCAGCCGACAATTGCAACTGCGACTGCGTCTGTGACTGTGGATGCAACGTCAACTCTGTTGCAATGCGCTCAATAAGAACACCCTTCGTACCGGACGATTGGACGCCCGTTGCGCGCGCGATGCGCTGCAATTGTGCTGATTTTAAGCATGCGAGCCAGGGGTGGGTTGGGGAGTACAGTGCTGCAGAGAGACGCATTGGGGGGGGTTTCTTTCTGCCTGCCAAGGATGACATTTGGGAGGGTCTAGGCTTTCCGGTACAGGCACAAGTAGGAGCACAACACGAAGTACGGAGTAAATCCCTCTGACTTGGGATGACCCGTTATGGTAATTTTAGGCTGGACATTTTTAGGGGCATTCTTCACGGTCGGCGCACGGACCCATTGGACCGTTTGCGTCGACCATGGCACTGGGTCGGATTGAGTTTGTCTTTGTTTCCAAGGGTCAGTGGAAGTTTGTAGAAAAGGTAAAGTAGGTCGATCTCATTTTTAGTCTACTCGACAAATAGGTATTATATGCGCCTTCTATTTCCCAGACACCGAGATCCCGGTCAAAACAACAGGAATAAAACTCCCCCCTCCAATAGGCAGCAAATGCAAGGCGCTGAAAAGCATGTCAAACACAAACACTCGAACAGCAGTAAACTCCAAAAATCCAAGCAAAAATAGATAGCAAATCAGCAAATTATATCAAGGTAACATGTTCAAGCTCCGCAATTGCGATCTCATCTCGGAGATACAACAATGGGGCCCAAACACGCCAGTGTAGAACACCCATATGAGCAAGACGCATCCCAATACGCTCGATATCCGACTGTTGCGGCGTCAAGGCCAACGAGGAAGGGTTCACAGATCCAGATGCACCCGCCGTTCCTGTCTGTGGGGTAGTAGGACCCATAGTAGCCGACAATGGAACCCTCTGCGACTCACAGATCGCCAATGGCGATAGCGGCAAGTATCTACGAGCCGCGGCTAGCGTGGTAGCAAGGATCTTGCTACGCATGCTGTTTTGGAAGAACACGAAAAGCTCGGATTCATTCGAGAGATGCCACTCGAGGGCTTCCTCGATGGGGGAAATGACCTCGTCTGCGACGACAGGGTCGAGCTGCAGCGCGGCACAGGCAAAGCGGCCAATCTCCAACGCAATGCAGCGCATATTTTGTGTCCAGCGCTTTCCGCCGCGGTGGTCGGGATCGTCGTCATTATTGTCTGGATTTCCCGCGACACGGTTCTCCAGGTCCATGCCGTCTTCCATTAGGGACCAGATTCGTGTTCGGAAGGTGGAATAGGTTTCTTCTGGGGTGGAGAGATACCGCTTGTGCTTGTTCACGTAGGACTCGAATATGTACCAGGCGATATCGAGATTGATTAGATTTTGGACGGTTGAGCGGAGTTGCCAGAGGCGCTCAGAGTCGAAGAGGAAGGTTTCGGGGAAGTCGGCGGGCGGGGCGAATTGGAGGAGTTGCGAGGCGATTCCACGGAACAGGGCTTCGAGGGGTTTCAAGGTGTCTTCTGTTTCTGGGGTTGAGGTTGCTTTTTGGGCTTCTGCGTTTGCATCATCTTGACGGGCTTGCTCGCGCACTGAGAGATACCAGTGGCGAGCGGGCTCGACATGGAAGCTGCCGCGGGTGATTTTGCCTTGGAAATATTCTTGGAGGAAGGGGACTGTATCTTCGATGAGCAGAACGCGGAATGCTCGAATCTGATGGTTGGCGACGTCCTATCAAGTCACGGATTAGTTCGGAAAGTTGTGGGGACAGAAGGGTACAAATTTGACATACCAACTTCATCGCCTCTAGAATAGAGAACAATGTTCGCAGACCGTTGACAATCTCGCGGGGATCCTGAGACTCTGACCCCTTTTGGATTTGATCGACCATAGAGTCTGCCCACTCGTCTCGCATCGGAGCACAATGCGTTTTCAGGAGCGTCGCCAACCATTTTGCCAACGTGAGCATGTCGAGAACGCCTTTGCGTATTTGCTGCATAAGCAATGGAACTTCCAGGTTCTGCATGATAGTTGGATGATCCCGTTCTGGAACAAGAGTCTTGATGACATCCTGCAATGTCTCGAACAGGGCGGGGAGACGGGGATCGAAGGTGCGTCGAGTACCATCACTCGACTCGACTTGCTCGGCGGTGGCATCAGCAGTCGCGGCATAGAAAGAGTAGATAGTAATCTCCACAGCCAGGGAGTCCCAATAATCCGCAGCTTCTTTCCGCTTGCGTTGGCCCTTTTCTCCATCTAGGTCGGGCTTGAAATGCAGGTCGCGATCGAAGTTAGCGTCCATGCGGAGGTTGATGTTGCTCATGATACAGGGCAGATCAAGCTCGCTGAGCGTTTTCTTAGTAACCGGTGGGGATCTTCGAGCCTTACGCAATAGGCGCTGATCGCGGGAATCCAACCCCAGATTATGGGGTATGCTGATAGCCTCCGGTGACGGGGAGGGCTCTCGAAGCCGAGAGACAACGGCTGGTAGCGGGGATGTAGTTTGTCGAGCTCCATGGGGATAGGCGAAGGGCGGTTGACGACGACGGAGAGGATTAATGGTAGTTCGGTCATCATGGTTGTGAGAATCTCGCCCCTCGTTCTTGTGATACTCTTGAGAACGACCACTTCCAGCACCATACGCCTCTAGAGGGCCCTCGGCACCCTCCTCCTGCGGCCGGGCTTCTTTTGTGCCTTGTAGATCCATCGCTCAGCACGATATATCTGAACCTCCCCCTACTCAGACAGTCAGATAAAAGGAAGATTTTGGGGGCGGCAATGGCGAGACCACGCCATGCACCTAGACACAGAACAAGGCGAAAACGCCCCCTATGCAACTCCCACTACTCACAAATTTAATAGCCCCTGTTTGCCTCAGGCAGGCAGCCAATCCGCAAGCACCCAAAAGTGATGCAAGTGAGCTGTCAATTCCTGTGGAGCCGAGGATTGCTTGGATCTGCGTCGATCGCCTCGTGGTCCCGACCAGGGGTCCAAGGATAGGGAGAGGATTAAAGGGGGGAATTAGATTATTTGAAACAAGACGAGTAAAAGAGTCCACATAAAAGAGGATATAATCTTTAAAACAAAGAGTTGTGTGATAAGGGGGGCGAGAGAGTATGAAAGGTCTCTCTAAGCATAACCCTGGGAACTGTAGTGTATACTCTCAGGGCAAACAAGTCCAAATGTCGAGAAGTGCAATGCAGGATAAACCGACAAATCGAAGAGCTAAAAAAAAGAAAAGAAAGAAAGGGAGTTGGCAAAGCGACCGGGATGAATATAGTGAGTGTATCCCAGATCTACACACCGGATTCGGGTGGACGCAACCAGACATTCCTATGCTGCTACCCGCGAGCAGGACTGCCCTCGACTTGGTATATCTCGACATTGTCACATCTTTCCATTTCCGATTTGAACTTGCATATCTGCATTGGATGTGCAAAAAAGGGGGGGTATTCGCCTCACTTTGAACCTTGAAACCAGCACTGGCCACGTGAGTGTGAGTCTCCTTTTCTCGGGGAACCACTGGATGCAGTCGACTTCGGCATTACCAGGTACATTAGTATGTACTCCGTGCTCAGTGCACTCTGGGACATTTAGCAAGTGTTCACAGAGTATCGAGGAGAGATGAAGCAGGGCCCCTCCCGTCGGGATCGGAATGTTTTCGGTTCAGCATGCCTTGGCGCCTGAATGCTGTAATGCCTGACAAACAAGGCATCATATCATCACGACAACCCTAAAGAAGTATGCTTCACCCACTTCGCCACCTAACTCCTACTAATTGATACTCGCGTACGGCTCAGATCTGAATAAAATCACTGTGATTCAGGAGGCATCAAGTACTCGGAGACGGAAATGAGCCCGGCTGAGCACCCAAATTCACTGGCCATGTCTTTGACGGCAATACCCCCGCGGGCCTTATTGACACCCAAATCTGGCTCAACAACCGCCCGTTCAATAGCCCAATAACCACCAGGATGTCTAGAAAGAAAGAGATAAAAAGGAAACATGATTTCCACGTGGACCCTTGTCTGCATGGGCTTCCAGAGTCTTTACTACGCAATACTACAGACGCAATTTCGAAAGTTATCATCTCGATCATTTTACCAGAAAGAAAAGAACTGTCATAGCTGTACAAAGCACGGCAAATGCCAATCATGAATCTTTCAGCTTTGTTTTACTTCCTTCATGTTCTATGGGCAGCCCCTCGGTTTGTCCTTTCGCGAGGAATTGGTTCATACAATACTTCACGCTTTGAGGTACATACCTTGCCGGGCGTTTCGGACCTGCCATCTAGCTGGGCTGGTCGCCTTCCAGTTCCGGGGACAGAACCTGGAAATGAGATATTCTTTTGGCTATTCCAGTCAGAGCAGCCGTTATACGATGATAATTTGATCAGTAAGTCTGATTGGGAGAAGAACATGCAAAGATTAGTTGCTAACAAGGTTGTATAGTCTGGTTCAATGGCGGCCCCGGCTGCTCATCCTTGATAGGGTTGACGACCGGTAATGGACCCATCTCATTCGATGGCAATTCAACTCAATTCATTCGCAATCCGCACTCGTGGACGAAGCTGGGCAATGTGCTGTATGTTGATCAGCCCGTCGGTACTGGCTTCTCTACGGCCAGCTTCCCTTACCCAGTTAATAACAATGGCCGGGTGACGACCGACTTTACACAGTGGCTGCGTAGCTTCTTTGAGTACTTCCCACATCTGCAATCAAAGCAGATTCATCTGATGGGGGAGTCATATGCAGGCATCTACATACCTTACTTTGCATCGGAGCTTCTCCAGGGCAACAATTTCCTTCCTCTCAATGTCCGCTCGATATCTCTTGGTGACGGGTCTTGGGGAAATGGAGCAGCCATGGCGACCGTTGGAATGGGTAAATATCTCAGGTCACAGCTGGACCTCCTTCAAATACCAGACAACATTCTATCTGTTTTCGACGAAGCAGACAAAACCTGCGGTTTCAACGACGTGCTAGCAAAATCCGACATCTATCCCCCTCAAGCTAAAATTCATATCCCCGGAAACCCAGAGTATTTCAACCTCCGACGTCGAGACCTGGCAAATGCCGCCAACGCTGCATGTGACATCTCACCCACAACCCCCGAACAAGTCCGCGCCTCAATATTCAATTCAACCTGCTACGGCCCTTGCGCCGCCTTCTCTACAGCAAGTGACTACCTAACAGCCGTCTCCGCCAACCGCACAACCCGCGGCTGCTTCGACATCTATGACATCTCCCATGACTGCAGCACTGTTTCAGAGCTCCCATTGATGGCAGAATACTTTAGCCGTGCGGACGTGCAGACCGCACTCCACGTAGAGAATAGCGGACTCTACAGTGCCTGTAACTCCACAATCTTGGGCACGCTACTTTCAGCGACCTCCCCCGTGCCACCGGAGTATTTCATCCTCCCATCTTTGATTACCAAGCACAACATCTCGCTCCATATCTATTCGGGAGAGTGGGATATGCTGATCAACCACTTTGGCGCGGAACTGTCGTTGCAGAATATGACGTGGCGCGGTGCGCAGGGCTTCGCGCAGAAGCCGAAGAAGCCGTTCTTCGCTGATAATGCTGCACCGTCAGCGACCAAGCAGCTCCTCCTCAAGCATACGCCAGTGGCCACTACGCTCTCAACCGCCACACCCACTGCTGGAGTTGCGGGGATATGGGCCATGGAACGTGGTGTTTCATATCATTTATTCCGCGGGGCAGGTCACAGTGTCTTTGTGAATAAGCCACGTGAGATGTTTTCCTTCGTGAGAGATGTGGTTGTTGCTGCGAGGGCTCACTGATTATGTGGACCTCGTGGGGTCGGTTTTTGGAGTTATCGGAAATATGTCATTTCTCTAGAGTTCTTTTCTATTTTCAAAATTGAGGGCCAAGTTAGTATGTGACTTTCAGACCATGCCAAGCTCGTAACAATAACAATTATGGAAGGCTTTCGGACGATGTCGACAAGATTGTTGCATCATGTATGGAGAATCACCAAAAGCAATGTGATCTCTGAGTTCAAATAGGTTTCTTTCTTCATTTGCCTTTTTTTTGTATAGAATCAAAATAAATCAACTCAATCGATTACTTACCTCAAATATCATGGTCTCCCATAGGTATATACACCTCCGTTTTGATTCATTGTAGAGACTTTCTTGAATGGATTATTCTGTCTTCATTTGACATACCAGCTATGAGGAATAGCTTAATCTCATTTATACTTAATTCAAAAAATTCACAGTACTATCATATGTAATATTTACATCGAGTTGCCCTTCTAGCATGCCGTATCCCGTCCACGCATACCCAACTGCTACGAGATCTCCGTCATGTTACAACAAGCAGATGAATAAGCATAATATGACAGAATTTGTATATTTGAAGAGTAGAAATTACTAGATGTTACTTGGGGGTTGGTCAATAGGTGTCGGTCGGGAGCCATCATGACCCAGCATGAGTCATGGTGTATCACGATGAGGTGAGTCCAAGGTTACCGTATATACATAGAAAAGTCTTCTGCGCACTTTATATTTTTTCTATCTTTCTTCTGTCTTCTAACTATAGGTTTAGAGCCGAGAAGAAGGAGTGAATATCAAAAAGGAATTTCATATCTCTGTTTTGTTACTCAATGCAACAACTGAATTGGGAAAGCATATAGATGATCTCTTGAGATTGACATGACCCTTCGAACGTTTGACAGCGTAGAGTTGCTGCCCAATGTGATATACCCTGAAATATAATTCTACTGGGGGAGGCTTCTCATGGCCACTTGCTTGAAAGGCCCAATCTATACCTTGATGGAACATCGTTTTTCTGTAGAATGAGTTTTTGTAACTATATGCGCGAGTGTTGACGTAGCATCGGATAATGAATACTTTAAGATGCGAATATATCAGTGTCATTGACACCGAGCTGCTCGTCTCGTAGGAGCATCTTTATGCCCAGTTTGTTTCCAACCTTCTGCGCAGCTTGTAGCGCCGTACCAAACTCTCCACATTTGGCATCGACATCCGCACCCCAATCTAGCAGCAGCCTTGCACAGCACTGATGGCAATTCAAATAGCACTTGAACCCATTCATTCTAGAGCAATCTTCCCACGTCTGCATCATCACTGCCACCAGTGGCGTACCAACACGCTCATTCTGTGCATTAACATCTGCACCAGACGAAAGGAGCAGCTCCACTGACTCCCACTTCCCAGAAACTGCTGCTCCGTGTAGTGCTGTCCCATACTCGCCTCCGTCGAGGTCGAGACTCGCCCCATGGGCCATAAAATTTCGAGCAACGCTGGAAGTATAAAACCTGGTAGCGGCGATATACAACATAGTTGCACCAGTTTGGGAATCCCTTGCGTTCGGGCATACTCCCTGATCAAAAAGATACGCAGATAGGTCCTCATCAATGCGAGTACCATATTTTAGAATAGCGCGTGAACAAAGCTCAAGGCGTTCAGCAGGTACCCAGCCCTGTGACTCAAGGATGAGGCGTGCGCAAGCGACACTACCACGCCGTATAGCCGCATAGAAAGCTTTTTCAACGACCGGTTTGCCGTGTCGAGCATGCTGGAGTAGGATGGCCACAATCTCGGGATACTTCTTCTCAGAAGCAATTACCAATGGCTCGAAACCTTGAACTTCATTGAGGAAAAGCGGTCTTTTGAGACTCAGGAGTGCCTTGATCACCAGTATTCGATCCGCTTGATCACTTTGACATTTTATTGCAGCCAGAATGGCAGCTTTGATATCCCCAGTTGAGGGAACAAGCTTGGTGCTCATGTAATTGATTTTTTCGATGTCGCCGTCGGCTGAAGCTTTGACCAAGGCCTCTGAATAGACTGTAGCGTCATAGAGTATATTGCATCCGCAGCGATCCAATGTTCTCAGTATATCAACTCTCCCGCGCTTTACAATAACCGGGAAGATCTCCCTAATCTTGCCAGAGAAGTCATTTGTTTTAGCCCCTGCACAAAGCAAGACCATGATGACTTCAGTCCAGCTTGGTGGGTTTGAGGGCCAGTAGTGGTATTTGTATTTCTTGATTCCTTTGATGGCGAGGTCTAATGCCAGATTCCCGTGCTCGTCGCGAATGTCAACGTCAGCTCCATTTTGCAGCAAGACTTCAACAACAGCGCCTCTACCTTCTTCTGCGGCCAGCAAGATAGCAGCGGGCCAATTTTCGAGAACAAAATGCTCCAAAATTTGCTTCAAAATCTCCGTGCACCCCTTTACACAGGCGTATCTGAAAGGGCCTTCGAAGTGCTCGACTTTGAATCCTGCCAGTATTGCTTCTTGAACCAGCATTGTTGCAATCTCCTTTTTACCGCGACTCAGACTTGTCTTCACGATAGACATATACACGTCATGAGATAAATAGCTCCATGGGTCCTCTTGAAATAGTCGTTTGGCAATTGATGCATGTCCCCAAAAACATGCCGCGAACATTGGTGTGCTTTTGAATTCGCTGAAATCACTTTCATCGGAGGTAAAACTGCTATTCAAACGGTATGTTCCTTCTAGATGGGCGTTTGCCCCGTTTTCGAGGAGTATGGAGACGGTAGCTTCGTGTCCACCAACGGCGGCAAGATGAAGAGGAACTGCCACAATACTTTGTTGTTCCCGGGGTTTTATGTGCTTGTTGAGAAAAGTGGAATAACCATCGACGTTGGCTCCTTGTTGCAGCAGAAAGATCACCGTCTTCTCGTGTCCGTTGCCTGCAGCAAGGCAGAGCGCTGTTTCAGTATCGCCGTCAGTCTCGTCCACCTCTATACCTTGGCGAAGAAGCAGTTTTACTATGTCGAGATGTCCCTTATAAGAGGCTGCCTGCAGTGCATTTCCTAGGTCCTTTCCAGATGCCCTCACATCCGCATGCCTGCCAAGCAAGAACCGAACAATGTCAATATGCCCTGCATCACAGGCAACCTGAAGTGCATTACCATTTTCACCACCTGAATCTTCGATGTTTGCTCCGTGATCCAACAGAAACTCAACGACCCTAAAGTTCCCTCGCTCCGAATGAACCTGGAGGCATGATCCAAACATTCCCCAATGCCTATCAATCTCTGCACCCCGGGACAGCAACACCTCTGCGACATCAAAATGGCCTCCCTCCAAAGCTGCCTGTAAGGGGGTTCCAAGGGTCTGTCGCTGAGCATCGAGGTCTGCTCCATGGTCTAAGAGAAGTTCCACCACTGGCAGATGTCCCCAGAAAGCTGCGATCTGCAAGGCAGTGTACGCACATCCCCAGTGGTACTCATTATCCTCAGAACTAGCATCCATGGCATCTATTCGAGCCCCCTTGGCTAGTAGCATCCTAACCAAAATAACATTGCCCTTTCGAGCAGCGACCTCAAGTGGCCCCAGCCAAGCTGGAATGTCCAGTCTGCCCGTACCCGTCCTTAACCCTGGTAGCGCAATCCTCTTAGACCTACAGGATAGGCTGCAAAACGGATTGTACTCATGGCGTTCCCGGTTAAGCTTCGCCCCAGCTGCGAAGAGTACGTTGACGATATTCTCATGGCCAGCATATACGGCCGCTTGCAGCGCATCACGATATCGGACCGGCATATAATTATGTTTGAAGTCTAATGCAGCACCCCGCTCAATCAAGAGTCGAACACACTGCTCATGTCCATTAAAAGAGGCAGCCTGTAGCGTGTTGCCAAAGTGGCCACCAAATCCATCTGCACGTGCTCCGTGATCCAGTAGCATCAACATCATATCGACATTTCCTAAGGAGGCAGCGGCTTGGAGCGGGTCACCGAGCTTTTTGTCTTCGGTGTTAGGGTTGGCTTTTTTCTTCAATAGGTATCTTGCAATCTCGAGATGACCAGATATAACAGCAGCCCGCAGGGGAGAGCCAAAACGTCCGCGAGCATCAATGTTGGCGCCGGCATCGATGACAAGCTGCACGAGACCAACTTTTCGGCTGGCAATGGCGGCGGCGAGGGCATTTCCGAAGTACCCGTTCTCTTCGTTTATGCGACCATTACCATATTCTTGTATTAATCGCCTTGCTTGCCGTGATTTCCCCCAGAGAGAGCAACTTGGAGCGGATCGGGCCTAACGTTTGGTGTGAATGTGCCAGCCTTGCCGCTCAAAAGCCACTCCACAATATCGACATTGCCTCTAAAACTTGCAGTATCTATGGCATCATCGAATTGCTTCTTGGTGGTCAATCTGCATCCACTATCAACGAACAATTGGGCGACCCCGTCATGCCCATTGGCTAGAGCAGCTTGGAGCGGACTTGAGTATTCCACTTTTTCGGCCTGGGAAGTTCCAGCTGGGGAGAAAGAAGCGCCTCTTTCAAGTAAAATCTTCACAATTTCTCCATGCCCAGCAAAGGATGCTGCCTGTAGTGCAGTTCCATGTTGAGAGCCCGGGGCATCCACAGCTGCCCCCAGATCTAGGAGTCTCTGGGTCATCGCGATGTGGCCCCAACGAGCGGACAGGTATAGTGCCGAAGTATTATGCTTATTCCTTTGATTTAAATCCATTGCCCGAGCAAGCTCAGAAGATTCAAGTACTTCTTCGAGGCCAAAGCAAGACATCATAAACAATGCTGATGGTGGCGAGGCGAATGATGCAGTGAGCTTTCTGTGAAGCGAGTTGCTCCAACTCGGATTATTCTCAATATTCAGTGTATCAAGATCATCCAGCCAATCTTCAAAGTGTTCTTCTTCCGTGGAAAACTCGAGAAGTGCTGGCTTGATCATTTCTCTTTGGGGTGATCCACTGAGCTGCTCCAAATGAGCCGGCCAATACCAAGTAGCGTAACTCAAAATATTGGACTCGCGTTCCTCCCGCAGGTATAGGCCTAAGCACCCGTCGACAATAGTTGCATTGGACTCGTCGATAGAGAACTCGGGTAAAGTTTCAAGGAATCTGCGCATCAAGGATCAGGTTTTTGTCTACTTCACGGCTTGTGGGAAAACATACTCTCGGACTGTCAAGTGAACTAGGCGGAACGTGTCTGCTTCGTTGTCTATCGTCACCAGGTTGCAGCAATAGTCGCGGATTGATCTTGCTGATACATGGGATGACTGGGTCGAGAACATGCTGATAGCAGCCACAAGTTCGGAGACTGAGAGCTTTCTTTTCGCGCACAAGAGCCATTGGAAGCTTGAGATTGCCACTCTTCTCGTGCTCTCGCTCATAGAGTTTATTCGTCTGTAGATGGCCTCATATGATTTGCTGAGGGTTGGAGGCAGCGAGGTCAAGGCCTGGCGAATACTGTCAATATCCTTGACATGGTCGGTATCGCTAATGCTTTCGAGCTGGAGAGTAACCCAGAGAAACCTAAAATCGTCAGCGTAAAGTCCATATGAATAAAAAACTCCATCTAAATCTTTAGCCTTGATCGCACAACTTACATTCCTTGTGCGCCTGTCATAAGTGCCTCCTTTATGTCCTCCCCAAGCTTATGCAGCGCCAGGTCCGACTCACCATGCATAGTAGACCATCTTTTCACGAATCTTTCGACCTCAATTTCGACAAATTGCTTCAGATCTTCGTGATTTGATTGAAAAGTCACCTCTAAGGTTTCGCCTTTCTTGAATGCCACTGCAATATCTTCTTCATACCGACTCGAAACAAAGATCTTGACAACATCTCGGCACCGTTGTCGAATCTCCTCAAGAGCCTCGAGGAGAATGCGTCGTTCTTGAGAGCTGCACTCGTCTAATGCATCAATAACAATTGTTAACGGAGTCGCTCGGCCGATTTCACATATGACTTCCACACAATCTTCTACCGTCAGCGGTGCCGGTCTTTCTCCGGTATGGCTCGCTTCTGCTTGTCTTGATTTATACACTTTCAATAGCGGACACCGAACACGACAATCATTTTCTTCCCTTGTGAGAGAGATCTGCTTTACCAATGATCGCATTATATCTTGGGGGGTCGGTTCGTTCGGGCTCTGCAAGGTTCCGAGAGCAAAAGAAATGCGCTATTGGTGCTGGCTGAGATGCACCACAGCTCTGTTGACGTAGGTGTTGAATCAAAATCGCACTAGAAAAGATCAATTCCCCCTTAGGTATGATACAGTTCTCGACGTTGGAAACTTACGCAAGTTTTGTCTTTCCGCACCCCGCTAAACATCCTATTAGCTCGGAAATTGTAACATCCATGCCCCATATACAGATTTTAAGTTTTTATATACTTACGCATGCCATATAGCCAAAATGTTTCCGAACTGCTCGAGTCTTTCCAGGTCATGAAGCATTGATCTTGAGAGAGCCACTCGCCTGACCCAGATATAACAGATGCCAATGCCTCCCTGTAGTGTTGTTGGGCGGCGACAGGGGAAATCCACGATAGAAGCTCGTTTCTCTTGCTTTCTGGTCATAATTAGCCTTGGTGTTCCATGTTTTTCCTGCATGAGAAGAGTACTTTTCAGAGCACCATAGAGGTCAGATACCTGATCTGTAATCCTAATCAGGGGTCGCTCAAGGCCTGCAAGAGTTGCCTCCAGTCTTTTTCGGATGTTTTCGACGTCTTCAGCGGTCGAGGTGGTCGTGAGGAGCATCGTCGATATGCCGTCGTGAATATCTTCCACCCCTAATACAATGTCAGAAAATTGGGTATTTATCCATATCCAACAACGGACTTTCACTATCAACGAGACTCTTCAAAGCTGAGACTTTCTGCTCTGCGGCCTCCATTTGCGTCACTGACTCTTGAATGGACAACTGAGACGTTAAGTTCAAGACACGCTCTAATTCTCGGTCAGCACACCCATAATCCTCAATCCATTGAATCAACTCACTCAAGCGCGAGGAATCACGGTGCCTCTTAGCTCTACAAATGAAGTCCAGGACAGTGGAATACAAGTTCACCATTTCCCGTTCCAAGCACAACCTTGCTTCAGTAGTTCCCTTACCACTGCGTATGAACAGAGCCTCAAGAATCCCACACCGCGATCAATCCTGTGGCCTTCTCCAATCCCTCAACAATAGCACCAAAAACTTCAAACCCAGAGAAGGTCAACTGCAGCAAGAAACGCACACCGGCCCACGGCAACGCCGCATGAACAGGGTCATACTGGACCGCGATATCAACAACCTGCATATATTTCTTGACACATGCAGCAATCTTAGCGCATAAATCACGAATGATGAGCTCCTTGCCCCCGATACCGATGGTGACCCATTTATCCCGCGTACAGCGGTCGCGCTGGATTTCGAGTGCCGAGAGTATATCATTCAGAGTCTGTTTGGCTTCTGGAGCTGAGGAGTTTGAGATTTTGAAGATACGTCGATCTTTTTCCGGGAGTGTTGATAGAGCAAGAGCCCATAGTGAGGAGTTTGCGGAGGTTTGCAACGTCATCACGAGTATCTGGTCTTTTGATCAACGTATAGAATGCGGATGTGTATTCAATGATCAAAAATGAAAATAAAACAAGAACCAGCACTTTATTTATTCGCGTCGAATGTGAAATGCCAGAATTAGGGCAGTGAGGCTGTGTAGCCCGTACATACGTACCTCGCAGCATCACGCTAATTCTATATATAAGTTGAGTTCCTGATGACATGAAATTCCCAAGTCCTCGAACTTTCTATCATTGTGTACAGAAAAAAACATGTTTCTTTCCCGAACCACCTTCTATTGTAGAAAATCAGGAAATATCCAGAAAATATCCAAGATCCTAAAGGAATAGAATGTGTACAGTCTAAGGTCATTTTATATGGAAATTCAAGCGCTAAATATAGGTATAAATAGGGTTACGTCATATTTCCCCGCATAATATGGGGTTCAACTGTCTCTATATCAGCCCATAGGTAAGGCCATAGAGTCACGTTATATAAGTCCCCTGATTTGTCTTTCTCATTTCCCCCTCTACACATCTCTCACAATGAAATTCGCAACCATCACCCCCGAATGTGAGGAAGTATTCGACGAGGTTAAAGGAACAGACAACCTCACCTACGTTCTTTATGCAGCTTCCGCACACGACAAGAAGATCACCGTTGCGGAGTCCGGCAAATACAAGGATTACGATGAGTTTCTCTCTCACTTCAAGCATGACACTCCCCGATACGCCGTCGTAGACTTCGCCTATGACTCTCCTGCTGGGGATGGCCAGAGAAGCAAGCTAGTCTTTATCACCTGGTATGTAACAACACGTATCGCATCACCTTTGATGTTTTGGGGAGGAAGAGTTGATCTCGTGATCGAGGGTACATGGTGCTGACTGTTGGGATTTTGGTAGGGTACCCGAGGCTGCCAGCATTCATGACAAATCTTATTACACATCAAACAAAGATCACCTCTTCTACGCCCTCCAGGATATCAGTCTTCATGTCCTGGCACATTCTCAGGCCGATTTGGCTCATGCTGCAGGTATGTACTTTGTCCCTGTGAACCATTGACTCCATGGCTAGTGTGGTGACGCATGGAACTGACATTTCTCGTTTTACTTAGTCCTGGGAAAATTCAAGGCTCTTTAAAGGAGCTTTTGATTTCAACCTTCTTTGTGAATCTGAAACCCGCTGGGTGATGGGCGACTCACAGATCATAGGTGATCTGGCTATGCTGTACTAGACACCATATTTCAAGTTATAACATCTCTTACGAATTTTCCATCGTTCACCTCCGCCGCGTACTACGTATTGAATAATTTCAAACATGTTGAAGGCTGGAGTGTGCATGTATGAAGCGGAAGTTCATAGATAAACATCATTTCATTTGAGACTTATTGTAACAAAGACCCAGTTATTCCATAGGATATTGACCCGCTAATGCACAGGAAAAGAGAAGCAAAAAGCGCACCAATGAAATGCATATGTGGTCGATGGTCAAAAAAGACTCAATGGCATGCACAATCGATTGCTCGTAGCTCAGTTCTTTCAAAAGAGATCAACCCGCTAAATCAGGGAAAAACAGAATACAAATCGAGAATGGGATTGCCAGGGCAGAGTTGGTATTACAAGAAACCAAAGTAATGTGGCTGGCATGCACGATAGATTGCTCATAGTCATCATCATAAGACGTAGACGAAAAAAGAGCCTGGGGGGTAATCATGACGCATTGAGAAAACGAGTTCTCTGACATAGAGCGTAAAGTTATTTCATAGTCGCTTAGCGACGGAAGAACGGGGCTTGATTTGACGAGAGAAGCGAGTCGGCACGCTGGAAGACATCGCCCTCGAAGAATTTATCACTGTATGCACTAGCCGGTGTCGAGGGGACAGTCGCCTGCGCAGCAGGGCCGAGCGCCGCACTCAGCGGAGTGGCAGGGATGGTAACTGATTGCGGGGGCATCATCATGTTGAGTTGGAAAGAAGGGTTGTTGGTGAGAGCGGATGTTGAGACGGATGTTTGATGGTGTTGTAGGTGTGAGGCCTGCAGCGGAGGGCCGTAGAAAGCAGTAGGTGCGGGATGGCGGTCAGGATCTGCAAGGTAGGCCCAAGGAGATACCTCGATCAAGCGGCCTGCTTCCCGGCTTGCTTTTTGGACTGGGCGTAGGAGAATGACAACATCAGCAGGTAGAAGTTGCATACTTTTCAATTCCCGCATCTCGTTGACTAGATCTACGAACGACTGCATGAATGATTTGCATAGCTGCCAGAACTCGCGTTGATTGCGGAGCCCACCGCCTGGTTCTTTGACCTTCATGGTCGAGAGACGTTGCCCCAGGGCATCCGAGACTTCCAGGCAGAATTGACATCGACGGATGAGGTTGTTCCAGAGGATTTGGATTCCATCCGAATCCCGGGATTGTTGAGCAGCTTCTGAGCACCTTATGAATTGCCGACGAGCCAGTGGAAGTGCTCCATATGCGGCATGATATGTAGCAGTCAGCTGATGGAAGATCTTTTCGAATATCTGCTCCTCTTCGTTTTCATCCAGTCCGGTCAATGTGTTGACACGGGGAGGAGCCGTGGGAATAGGCATAGGAGGGAAGCTTTCGCCTGAGCGAGGGGTTGCCAACGAGTGTGGTACAGATGTGTTGATCATGTTTGACCTGCTGCTCGAGCGACTGCGTGCATATGTGGACAACCCAGGAGAACTGATGCCAGTCTGATTGGAATTCATAGTCATAGGGTATTGAGGGTGTCGGATAGTGGTGTCGCTCCGCAATCGTCGTGTGGGTGGGGTGAGATCTCTTGTTGGAGTGGCCAGCGGCAGTTGAGATCGGTCTGGGACCGAGGGGAGTGGGTTGCTTGGGCCAATCAAGCGTTTTCCAGCAGAGCGACGATTGTTAATGGTCTGGAGCGGGACTTTGAGAATAACGCAAGCATTCCGTAGCTCCACCAGGCTGCCAAACATCGTCAGCATTAGCGATCGTACATAGCGCGGATCGCCGTTGGAAACGATCTTGGCGACATTGTTGCGTAGTTGCGTGCCGACGTGAATGTAGGCGGTGATACACGTCTCGCATTCACGCCTGACTGTTTCTGTGACTGATGTGATTGACTCGGGGTCATTGATCAAGGTATTTGATGCTTTTTCGAGGGCATCGTTGAGTTGATCAACGTGTGAGGAAGCATTGTAAAAGACAAGTTCGAGGCTGTGGCGCCTGGTGTCATCATGCTTGATCACGTTGATCAATGTATCGATATGGGAATGAACTTGAGCGAGGGCAAATAGAATACCTTTTGCGCTCTTAATTATCGGTTGGTCAGACCCACGCTCACCCTTGTGTTCAGGTAGACTGGACATCCGATTAACCCATCCATCTCGCGGACGTCGACGCTCTCTTGGGCTCGTAGGACTTGGAGGAGTACTGTCACTCGTGGCTATTGGCGCCACAGACTGACGCGGTCGAAGTACTGATCCATGGCTGAGACCCCGTAGATGGCTGTTCCGGTATGGGCGCGTTTCATCCAATGTACCCAGATCAGTATTCTTGCGAGTGATCAGTCCCATTCTTTTGCTACGCGCAACAGATGATCCTTGGATTATGCCCTCGCTATTGCTTCGGTTACGTTCGTTAACGGAATGAGGGGCCACGCCGGGTCTTTGGAGACCAGGCATGTGATAGGTAGCGCCTTGTTGTCCAGAAGCCATGCGATAGTGTGATTTTAATGGGATTGGCGGTGCTCGTGATATCGATGGAGACCGAGATGAGCTTGCTGAGCTATCACCAGTGCTGGGTATTACTGGAAATCGACCACTCAAATTCCGCTTTGAAGGTATTGGTGTTGGTACCGGCTTAGCCTCAAAAATACCATCACTGTGTTGACACCGACTGTTAGCCTACATCGAGCTCAACCCGTAAGATACACAAACCTTGCATCCGCGATGATTTCTGGCTCGGGTGTGCTCGTCTGCTGTCGCGTTTTATTGAGGAATCTCTTGAGTTTGGTCGTGGCTGCAACTTCTTTCTCGTTGTCGGTCATCACAGAAGGTGTCGTCTCGTTCTCGGTTTCCTCCAGAATGTCACGCAGTGGCTTCCGCAGAGGATTTCCGACACACTTGAAAATTTGAAGCTTATGCATCTCAGAGAGGCCAGCTGGGAGGTCAACAAGGCGATTTTGCATCATTGACAGAACTCGCAATGATTTCAGTTTACTGATCTCATTTGGTAATTCCTTGATCTTATTTCGGCTTAAATCAAGAATTTCGAGCAATGGTAGTTTGTAAACCTAGCAAGCGAAGTTAGCGCAATGCATACACAAAGCAGATTTGTTTTTGAACATACTCCTTTGGGGAATTCACGGAAGTTGTTCGCTCTTATGTTGAGATAGCGTAGATGCGAGCACTCTGCAAAGCGATATGGGATATGGAAGAGCTGGTTATTTGACAGAGACAGCCTTTATACTAGTCAGTATGGTTCAGACCAGTGATACCGTAGCCTAGGAACAGGCAACGCGAAACTTGATTATAAAGTACAAAGCAAGGCTCCGACGTACCGTTCGACTTCATCTTTAATCAAGTCAACGACTGGTTCAGGGATCCTCGCAATGTGTGAATGTCCAAGATCAATGGTCAACTTAGGCTTGACCACATCTGTGACGGCCTCGCTGCCTGCTAGGGAACGCTTAGTATCTTGAATCCCACTTTCCACGGCATGCCGTGCTAGTTCGATGGTTTCCTCGGGGCTCAGTGTTTTCGAGCCAGCCAGTTGCTTGCTAGTAGTCTCCGGGGTATCTCCTAAAGCAGTGCTTGGTCGACTTCCCCCGTCCGGGTATGGAGAGTCATCGCCTTGTGACGCCAGCAAGCCACCTGACTCTGGAGTTCCATCTTCCATGTCATCCTCGTCTATATCGCCGTGGTTCAAGCGCAGCCCACGTACCGCATCCTCGGAACGAGTCGTTGAGGATGTCATGGCTGATAAAGGCCCAGATGTTCTTGATCAGGCACACCCCAGGGCAGCACTTTCGTTGACGAATTGATATACTGCCGAAAACGAAAAGAATATCCAAGCGCTATTACCATTACCATATGAGCACACTTCGGGCACCTGCGCAAAGCATCATTGGTTGTGATTTGGCCGGAGGGGTGGGCTATCTTCAATTGAGATGGGGAATCGACGTCGAGGTGGCCGTTGGACAAAGTGGAGGAAGAAAGATCGGAATCTTAATCGCCAAATGATGAATCGGTCGGGTATTAAGTGGTCAAATTCGGAGCAGACTCAGTTGAGACCGGGGAAATGGTTCATTGAAGCTCTCACGGCGGATGACAATGGCGGGCGCGATAAAGAGATTGGCCACAAGAGAGATCTGATAGATCAGAGAATATTGTTCTCGAAGCAATATAGGTCTTCAGTGTAAGGCAGCCACAGATAATAAACACTGAATGGAGTCTTGGTCCTGGAATGAAGGGAATCGGGGACATTGAAGTTGGGCGAGGCTGGAAATCTTCTGATTGGGCAAAACACGCCCAAACACCGGACCTCCGCAACTCTGCGCCTCGACTCCGCCTGCGTCACTGTATCGCAAATATCAGGATTATGTTCGAAAAGATAGCTCAGTTACTAGAATGAGAGGTGAATGGACCAATAATGCATGTGCTATCGCGTGAATAGAGCTAGAGAAGTACAACATCCAGGTGAACAGATCAAATAATATACATAGACCATCAATGTGAAAGACTAGGGGAAAACTTCTGGGAAAGAAGTTGTACCATAATGGCGTTCGAGTCCACTCCAACATCTCAAACTCTCACTGAGTGACAGGTCTCACAGGGTGACCGCCTCTGTTTCCTCGGCCCCAATCTCACTTGATTCAGTAGTCTCTCCTAGATCTGGTGCACCGCTTAGAGCTGATTTCCGCTGATCCTGGACCAGAGATGTTTCCCGGGCCCAGGCAACCCATTTGTCGTACTGCTCGCTCTCCATCTTCATACCGATTTCCATGTATGATGGTCCAAACTCTGCGCCATATGCCGCGGCTTCTTCTGCAGCCACCCGACGTTGAATGTCCTCCTGCAACCGAAGTCGATAGAATTCTCGGCGAGCAGTATCATAGGCGGCACTCTTGGTCATATCCGGAACGTTATTCAAAAGCCACAATTGTCGCTGGACAACACTAGGACCGGAAAATAAACACATTAGCATCGGGGATTTTTCCATTGGGAAGGACAAAGAATCTCAAAGTGGAAACATTGGGAACACACCTTTCACCATCTAACCGCTTCCCTGGTTGCTGAATGCGGCTCCAGTCATAGTGTTCAAAGTCCTTGCCGGTGCTCTCAAGAAGCACACGAGGCCGGGCAAGTTCCCAGGGATGGTCGCGGAAGAATTGAGTTCGCAATTGATCTTCCTCATATTTGAGCTGGACGGGTTGGAAAAGTCGGCTGGGCTTCTTGGGCTTTCTGCGCTTCTCTTGCACTTGGAAGACAACCTGCGGCTTCGATGACCCAGGAACCGTCTTCATCCGCTGTTGAACAAGCTCATGCTGAGGAGGGCGGGTACGAATGAGGGTTTCAGCAGGAGGGATCTCGCCGACCACACCGACCCATTGGGGCAGTTTGCTGGTCTTTCCACTGGCGAATTGGTTGAGTGCTGTCTGTCGTACCCGAAGGGCTGTAAGGTTTATCTTCCCCATAACGGTCGGATACAGCCGGTAGCTGGAATAATTCAAAATAAAAAAAGAGTTGAGACGCGACTCAGGACCGCAAATCAAGAGACAAGATGTGCGCTACAGGGGACGAGGTGGTTGATGCGGCAGCAAAAAGATGGGATTGGCAAAGCGCGGCTCCGATTGGTCGAGAGGTGACTCCGCCAGACCAGAAAGTGCAGGCCGTTCATCTTCAGAAAAACACATTTACGTCTTCCAATCTTGAACCTATCCCCTTTTGTCTGCTTTTTGCGCCCAGAAAGTAGACTGCTCTCTCTCCTGTGCGAGTGGCAACGGGCTTTCTTTTGGATGCGGCCTACCTAATGCCACGATGTCTGTTATCTCATGCCTCATCCAAATAGGTCCCCCAGCTCGCCAAGCCTGCGAATTCACCCCAAGCAGGCCTTGGATGAGCTTCCTCTCTTTCAACAACCCTCAATGCCTCCCTCGAAGCCCCCTTCTCACAACTCCTCGGTCCGAAGGCTCTGTCCCCGTCGTCCTCGCCCTTCCGTCGCGTCAATAGCAGATATTTTTGTCGGCTCGCTGGTTCTGGCAAGCTTCTGCCACGAACACTCGCCGAGTCGTCGGGGGTTGTCGACAGTAGCTTGGGGTGCCTCGGATCATAATCTTCAAAAATTCCAGAGCAAAAGCGCCACTAGTCGCAGACCGCTACCACCCCGACGACAACCAGAGTATTCAAGCTCAAGGTTTGATCTGTCGCAACCCAAAAGATTGATCAGCAATGGATTGGCACGTACGGATGATGACAATACAGAGGAGTATAATGTGGAGACCGAGTCACGGGAGGAGAGGAAGACAGAAGACGATGACTATATACCATTGTGGCCGGCAAAGAATGCGGACGTGGAATCGCAAACCCGCTCCGAAAGATTTGATTTTACATATGATTTCGACCGCAGAATAGAGATATCAGAACACACCAAACCCGACAACGGCATCGGCATCGACCCCAAACTGCCAGACAAATTTCCCCGCCAATCCTTCCCGTCATGGCTGCATCCCGAGAAGGAGAGACGCCTCTCCACGTCAAAACTATACGAAAAGTCCTTGGCAGATTATGATTGGAAGAAAGCAGTGAAGGTTGTTGCACCCTATTCCCGTTACACAAAGACGCGGAAAGAGGAATCGCACGATCAAATGGAAATCCACTCGGTTGAGAAGCTGGTCAGAACATTGTGGGAAGAGCCAGATCCATCAACTCAATACCTGTTCCGATTATACAGAGATTTGCCTGCACCTGGAGTAGCTTTGCTTTCGAAACGCACTCGTGGTGCTCTTTTACGTCTGTTCGCGCATCCTCGAGATCGACGATGGGTAGATGCCCGTCGCTATTTGGCCTTAGTGGATGATATGCTAGCTGCTCGACTTCCTCTTTCCCGCTCACTCTGGTCTTCTGCGATACATCTTTCTGGCCGAGCCAACGGCAAAGTTTTGAAACGAGATCTGATCCGAGCCGTGGGTATGTGGCAGAAGATGGAACATATCGCCGGAGTGAAGGCTGACGAAGTGGTATTCAACATTTTGTTTGACATCGCAATCAAAGCCGGCGCGTTTAAAGTTGCTGATCGTCTGGAGGAGGAAATGACTGAGCGGGGCCTAAGTTTTTCACGGTGTGGAAAAACATCCAAAATCTATTATTTTGGGATGATACGGGACGTTGAAGGTATTCGAGAGACCTTTGACAACTTTGTGAAATCCGGGGAGATTGTCGACACAGTTGTCATGAACTGCCTCATTGCCTCTTTTCTTCGGGCAGGCGACCTCCAAACTGCGGAGCAGCTCTATGCACGCATGCTGGAGAAACAGTCAAGCAATAACAAACGCCTCGCGCGTTTGGACGATCGATCCAACCTGAACATTGGCGGGTCAAATCTGAGCTATGACATGCCCCAGTATCGGGAAAAAGCCCGAAAGTTAGGTCGCGTATTGAAGAAATCGGCGGCACTCAAGGAGAAGTTCCCGGAATACCACCGTGCTCTCCAGGATTCTCTTTCCATCGCACCTGACACGCGAACTTTTTATATCTTCCTGCGACACTACGCCTACAACACTGGCCAGCTCGATAGCTTCATGGCTGTCATGCGTGACATGGAGAAGACCTTCCTTGTCCCACCACGTGCTATAATCTATCTTTTCCTCTTTGAAGGGTTCGCTCTCCATGGTCGGAGGAAAAAGCAATGGAGTGCAGAAAACCTTCGGCTGACATGGCATGCATATATCCGGGCTCTTCGGGACTCGAATACAAGACTACGTGGATTCAATTTGAACAACCGAAAGATGACATGGGAGAACCCACTAGCTAAGAGCGTGGCAATCGATGTCGAGGAGCTACCAGTGACCGATTCTCCCAACGGGTTGTACATGGCTTTGCCAACGGTGCATACAGTTGAAAATCCACAGGGATCGGAGGAAGCTGCTGAGGGCTCTACCATGGGTGATTCTCGAGACAATGAACAAGCCGCAAAGTCTGAACTGGATGAAAATGAAGATGAAACCACAGAAATAGAGGAACTTGATGTAGATGAGGTCTTCAACCCTCGCTTGCAGTTCCCCGGCGAAGCAGAGCAAGAAGAATCCTGGGACCCCGAGCAGCGTCTTGAAAATGGTCTTTTTGTTGGACGTCGGATGATTACCGTTATCCTGCAGGCATTTGGAACATGCTGTGGCCCCAAAGAGGTTCTCGAGGTCTGGTTGCAACTCGAGCGGCTTTGGCATCCGCAGCAGCGCAAAGCGGTTGATGTCTTCGCCATCAAGGAAGAACTTGATAAACAGATGTCCAGGGATCCTCATCGGAACCGCTGAACAAGAAAGAGCAGCAGGCTGAAATTTGGATTCAGCACTTGTACATTATTTTCCATATAGATCTGCCATATACCGACTCTTTCCTAGCGTGTCTTTGGCGCAAATGTATTATTTCACATGAACATCAAGTCCACTCTTGTAGAACTTACGTATCTATTGAGGTACTTTTGCATTGTCATCACATCTTTGCGCAAAACTGAAATCAAATTGAATCAACCCCAAAGAGGAAGTAACAGGTCCCACGTGACACCGCGTTCTGGGACGCGTTTGAAGACTCAATCTTCTTCTACTGCATTTTCACCTACCACTCTCAACTTATCTATCTTTACTATGAAGCACAATGGACGATAATCCGGCGGTGACGCGTCAAATAGCCAATATGCGATGGGTTTTGAAACACACCTTCAAAAAGAATGATTTTCGGTGAGTTGACAAGCTAGAGAAGAAGGTCAATTTACTTACTCCACCACATAGTCCACTTCAACGGGAAGTGATTTCCTCCGTCATCCAAGGGCAGGATGTCTTCCTTCAAGCATGCACTTCGTTTGGAAAGAGCTTGTGCTATCAACTACCTGCAGTACTCAAGGATTGGGGGCGTGAGTGTTCAGTATCTCTTATTCTCAATGGCAGATCAGCCTGACAAGAATATCTCCAGTGACTGTCGTGGTTTGTCCACTTCTCTCACTGATGGTGAGTGTGTTCCTAGAATGTCTGCAATTATTTAGCTAATCCCGTGCAGACAGATCAAGTAAACACATTGAAAGCTCTTGGTGTATCAGTCGCCACGATTAATTCAAATACTACTCATGATGAGAGGCAGCGCGTTTTCGAGGACATGCTATGTGGCCACCCGAGCACACGTCTTCTTTATGTAACACCGGAGCTATGCCAGACGGACAACTTCCGCCGCCGCCTGCTCATAGTTCACAAGCAAGGTCAGCTTATACGCGTTGCCATTGATGAAGCGCATTGCATAAGTGAATGGGGTCATGACTTCCGGCCAGCTTATAAAGAGCTTGGCTGGTTCAGAAGGAATCTCGTCGATCCAACTGTCCCCATTACTGCTTTGACTGCGACTGCGACCCCCCGAGTTCGCTCAGACATGATCAACATCTTAGGGCTGGATCTTGAGAATCTCCGGCTGTTCAACACTCCGTCGGACCGACCAAATATTCACTACGAAGTTCGATACCTTGCAGATTTCGCCGGTGATAACAATAGCGCAGAAGAGAGCCAGCTGCAAAACCTACTGAGATGGCTCAGCGGCATCAAAACCCGACGAGAAGCCCGACTTGGCGGCGGAGTGGCACTACTCCCTCCAATGTCGGGAATCGTATATGTGGGGACTCGAGCTATGGCTGAGCATCTCGCCAGCCGGCTATCCCATTCCTCGGACGAGATGGTCACGGCGGTGGCATACCACGCCGGCGTGGAAGCCACCAAGCGCGCACACATTCAATCAACATGGAAGTCGTCTCGGCCATTCCAGCCAGCTGATGGGGGAAAGACACCCGTTTTCTCCATTATCGTGGCAACCAATGCCTTCGGGATGGGCATCGATAATCCAGATGTCCGCTTCGTTGTGCATTGGACGCCACCGCGAAGCTTCGAAAGTTTTGTCCAAGAGTCGGGTCGTGCAGGTCGAGACGGCCGCGCCGCTGCCTCACTTGTCTACTACGGAATTCAAGAGAGAAACTTCATAGAGACTATGATCCACCGCGATACTGAATCTCACCGTGCAAAGGGCCCCGAAAATCGAGAGGCTAAGCTTGAAAGCTTCGGCAAGGTAATTCGGTACTGTGAGAGTATTAGGAGGTGTAGACACGAACTGATCAAAGAGTTCTTTGGAGATTTCGAGCTGGAAGAAATGGGATCACAACTGCCGGCCAGAGAGGGTTTGTCGGTTACGAGCTCATCCCCTTGCGACTTCGCCTGCGATTTCTGCAAAGAGGGTCCTGCCGGGTTGACAAAGCGCCGGGAGAAAATGGCATCCGAGACTCAGATGGCTCTCCTATACGCAGATTTCGACTGAGCGACATCATTCTGTTTGATTATGCTGTACGATTTAGTGTTTTCTTTTGTCATCTTTTTACTTCTGTTAAGATTTCTGCTTGCATTTTTGAGGCGACAACAGCATGAATGGCGCAAGGGGGAGGGATTTTTTTTATACTTCACATATACCACCGGGACATAGATATGAAATCCAGCATCCGAACCGCTCAGCAATATGTGCTCGCTTCTAAATAGTTTAGCCACAGCAAGAAATCCACTGTCAATAAGCAAGCCTTTTATTATGAACACGATTATCAAGTTTACCAAGTATGGAGAAAATAGGCAAATGAAAAGGTTAGAACAAGGCAAACTGCTAGACTTTCTTTAGCAACGACAAAGAGATTAGAAAGAGATTGACGAAAAGAAATCGCTGTATACCCTCGTTTTTGCAAACGACCAGGACATGCTTTTGTTTGCCGTGAATATCAAATGGATTGCGACTGGACAGCGGAAGGCACAAGATTAACCCACCAAAACAGGTTTTAGCTTAAAGACCAGGGGGTGGAGGGACCTGTGATCATATCAGTAAACAGAGCTCGAATGAATGGCGCGCAGGCAACATACCGCACTGTAGCCACTGCCACCTGCACCAGGAGGCGGAGGTGGCGGGGAACCTGAGCCAGGGGGCGGAGGAGGGGCCTCGCTGGCCGGAGGAGGCGGAGCAGTTCCATCGGCCTGCTGCTGGGCGGCAGCCATTTGCTGATAGTACTGGTAGTATGCGACATAATTCTGGTATCCACCGTAGGCAGCATATGGGTCGGTAGTGCCGTAGTACTGGGCATACTGGGCACTGTAGTCGGCGGCGGTGGGTGTGGCAGCAGCACCTGGGGAAGCAACAGCAGCAGCCTGGCCTGCAGGACTAGCAGAGGAAGTATTATGCTGCTGGCGATTGTTGTAGCCACCGCCGTAGCCGCCACCACCTCCTCCTTGATAGCGATCACCTCGATCGCCACGATCACCGCCGCGGTTGCCGTATCCACCGTAGTTGTGTTGGGGTGGATTTTCCTTAAAACGCTGGTATTGTTCCTTGACATTGGTTAGAAGATCCTCGCACAGCTCCTTTGCTTGCTGGACATCGTTGGCGTCTGGACCACTTTAAAGAGTGTCAGTAAAAGCTCATCAGTGGGGTGGAAGTAAATCGGGCGAAATGCAAGTGGGAAACAAGGTCAGTAAGGATATTTATGATAACTCACGCCACATGGAGGAACATCGCTTCGTCACTTTCACGACCAGTGCTCGATTCGATGAATCCAGAGCCACGGCCCTTGATCTGAACACGGCAACGAGTCTGCTGTTGGATGTGCTTCACATAAGCACCACCCTGTCCGACAACCTGAGCGCGCAAGTTGAAACCAGGGATTGGCTCAAGATCGATGGGGATGCGCTCATCCGGCCATTTACGCTGTTTAGAGAATTAGCCAGACTTTTACATTAACAAAGGTAAAATCACAGTTCCATACACGGCCATACTCATCCCGCTCAACCTGCTGCTCGGGTTCCCGGCGGCGGAAGCGTCGCTCGTCAACCAGGTTCGGAAGTTCTTTTTGCATCAGATCATTAATCATAGCGACCGCTTTCTCCAGACCATCCTTGTTGGTGCTGGTCACATGTAGATAAAGGGGGGGGCTCTAAATCGGAATAATCAGCACTCGGTCTCGCCAATCTTTGGCAGGCATTCCTTACTGCAGCAGTAGCCATGTTCTTGTCGGGATAATAGTTGCCTCGGGTTGTCACATCTTGAGAGAAAAAAACAGTGAGTGAGACTTTCTTTGTCTAAAGTTGAATATATAAAAGGAAGTCGTACCGGCGCCGGTTTCATCTTGAATCTATAAGTCACGCAGCGGAGGTCAGCAGATGCAACAGAGGGTGAATTTGATGCTATGTTTTAGTGAAGGGTAAGCGTCATCCAGTCGGAAAGAAGAAAGCAGAACGACGAGGAAGAAGATTCAAGGTTTCCCAATCTTCGACGATGAACATGGCTGGAAAATCAGCAGGCGACAAAGGGGGTAATTACCATCTTCTGAGTAGAACCCTTCGTCAGGGTGTAGCGATTGCGGAGATCGTTGATCTCGATGTCCTTGATGTAGTCTCCATCTGCGACGTAGATTTCCGCATTCAACTTCGCTGCGCCCTCGGCGGAGGGCGATTGGGAATTCTCTGTCGCATTGTCGGCCTGTTCAACAAGGTTAGAAGTTGGGCAGGACGAATCGAAGTGACTGTATATTCACAGAGCGGATCGGAGGGACATCAACATGTTGAATGCCTTTTTTCGCCTGAAGTTGCGCATTGATCTTGGCTGCTGCTGCCGCTGTATCAAGACCACCATAATTAGCCACAAAATCCAATTTATGGCATTGTATGAGCCCAAGTGTAACAAACCTGCGGCGGCAGCTGGATCCACTGCAGATGACTTTGCTGGAGCATCTGCACCAGGGCTGCGACTCAACGGGCGACTCAGCGGACTGCGAGTGCGGGCCGACTCTGACTGGCGGTTGGACGGAGATCGAGAGCGTCGGTCAAATCGGGATCGACGGGGCTCAGGTTCAGTTTGGTCAAAGCGAGACCGCTTGACTCGGTGTTCGTCATCCGCCATGGTGAAAAGTGGGGTAGAGTGAGGAAGAAAAGGAAAGGTCGGGGAAAAGAAGCTCAAAAAGGTCCAGATCGATCGCGGGAAGGAGTTTTAGAGGCGGAAGGCCGAACAGCCAACAAACAAAGCCACCAGCGCCAAAACTGGGGAAATCTTTAGTAAATTGAAAAGCTCAAAGTCTTTAGAAGAGTCAGTTATATTATATATTTCTCATTTCCAAGAGCTGGTCCGGTTTTCTGGCAATCCTTTTGGCCGTGTTGAGGATTCAAGGTCACGTGGTATCATATCACGTGCCTTCGTCGCCGGCAGATGCACTACACCCTTTTGGATCTAGTTTACTATGAGTCAGCAGGCGGTCGCCGAGGTCGGCCTACCAAAAAGAATATCCCCGGGGCGAATCTGGTGAATCATCGCACAACCCATTCACATCACTTGAACTCCTCATGGCTTTCAGGCGCCCATTGACGCTGTCCCTGGGGTCAGCGTCGCAGCTGTCATCTGTGGCAGCTAGTGCCCGGTCCCGTGCTGCTACGCTTCCTCGATTCACCTCTATTCGTGCATCATCGAGCTCAACTTCAGCTCTTGCCTACAAGGCATTGCACCGTCGGTCTCCTCTGCCATTGCCGGTCTCCGATGCTTCCCCTCAATGGGATGCTCCGACCGCCGTCTCCTCCATTCTTTATGAGACTCCTGTGGCTCCCACCAACCCACCCAAGCGGCATGTCCTGAACTGCCTCGTGCAGAACGAGCCCGGTGTGCTGTCCCGTGTGTCTGGTATCCTGGCCGCTCGCGGCTTCAACATCGACAGTCTGGTGGTGTGCAACACCGAGGTCGAGGATCTCTCACGCATGACCATCGTTCTGCAGGGCCAGGACGGTGTCGTTGAGCAGGCTCGCCGCCAGCTAGACGACCTCGTCCCCGTCTGGGCTGTGCTGGACTACACCGACTCCGCTCTTGTGCAGCGTGAGCTTCTTCTGGCTAAGGTCTCTATCCTTGGCCCCGAGTTCTTCGAGGAGCTTCTCCAGCACCACCGCGAGATCACCACCTCGCCAGACTCCCTGGACCACAAGCACCACAGCCTTGACCACACGGCCCAGCAATACCACCCCCGTCACCTTCCCCAGAGTCAGGCTCTGCGTCACAAGCACGAGCACTTGGATGCCATTACCCGCCTGACTCACCAGTTCGGTGGTAAAATCCTGGATATCAGCACTAACAACTGCATTGTCGAGGTGTAAGTATTTTCTTGACTCATACATTTTGACCACAGTTGACTCATTCATTCTCCTACAGTTCTGCCAAGCCTTCCCGTATCGACTCTTTCCTCAAGCTGATCGGTCCCTTCGGTATTCTCGAGTCCACCCGGACTGGTCTGATGGCCCTTCCCCGCTCTCCTCTGAGTGAGCCCAACGAGGAAATTGAGAAGGATGCTGCCGACGTTGTCGATGCCAGCACACTCCCCCCTGGCTAAGCTTTATATCGAATTTCCAACTCAAAAAACTTATGTACCCGAACAGGATTAGTTCGGTCTCTTGGCTTTGTATATCTTCTAGCTTTTCCGTGGAGTTGATCTAATTTGGAAATAAATGGCTTAGCCATTGTATGTAAAATGAAAGCTCTTGTTTCCCTCGCATCTCCATGTAGTCCTTTTCCAAACACAAATGGCTGTATGATGAAATGATACTTCAAGTGGCGGTGTACGGTTACAATATGTTCCGCGTCTCCTTCGCGTTGGCTAGATCGGAGATCGTACATACTCCCCGGGTCTCCTAGTATTCCCAATAACGTTCCAGTCATTAATCAGGGAGACAATCACTCTTGAGGCATTTTTAGTATGGCATTAATGGTGTGGTATCGCTATTTCCATCTCTATATAGGTATCTGCTTGCAGTCGATAGCGTTACAGGGTGACAACCTGACTAGACAAAGTGAGAGAACAATGTAGACACTGCATGTATTCATCTGAAAGAAGTTTTAACTGCTCACGGCTAAGTTGGATTAATGATCGCCTGGAAACGCTTCAGCGTGCATATTTATACAGTATAGAGGGTCCATTGTACAATATATAGCCCGTTTTAACATCGCCTAAATGAGACTATAGAGAATCTCAAAAGTAAGCTCACATATAGGTACCTGTGGAATGTTACATGGTGAGAATTAGAAACATCAAAAAAAGAGAGAAAGGAGGGAGGACGGTCTCCTTCAGAAGACCCAGAGCAAGAGCCCCGGATGATTTTAATTTCGGCAAGAATGGACATGGCGGTGTTGGAACGCACGCACAAGCTCGGATAAATACATTTTGATCTTCAATCCGGCATCATTTGTCTTTTCTTTCTTTCCTGGTCCTGGTAGGCCATGACTGATCCCGCTCAGCCATTTCCTACCAGGACAGGAGTAAAAGCGTTCGTCTTTTATAGAACCGTGGGAGTCATTTTAGGTCTTTTGTATACTTCTAGCTTGAACTTCTGGCTTTACTCTGGCTCAGCTTAAAACTCAATTGGTTTTCATTGGATGTAAATTAGGAGCATATTGTACACACGCTCATAAGAATAGTCAGGGATTGACCCGAGCGAATTCTCCATCCAAAGATCATGGGAAACTGGGCATTCCTGATCCAGCAGCAATGAGCGCATCCCATTCCCAAGACCAAGACCTCCATCAGGTGTCATGGCAGCTCTCCGACCCTCTAGATTCTTACTTTAGCCGCAATACCCTTCCCATGGTAGAGAATGACATCCATATAGTTCCCTATCAACACTCCGACCTTAGCGGCAGCATCCATCTCCAACGACTGACCGAGTGCCTTCCGCAAGGCGTCGTACCCAACCCCGCCCATGTCCAGATCGACTGGCAGGCGTGGGCTCTTGGATACACCAGGCGGCACTTCAAAGGGTTTACGGTTATTGATTCGGCCAATTGGCTCATTTTTCTCATAGTAAGCCGTTGCGTCGATTGAGGTGATCAAAATACTGTTTTCGGTAAGGGGGGATGAGAGGGTGAATTCTGCTGTGGACGACCAAAGGTAGAACTAGAGTAAGTGTCAGTTAGAAGTTTTTCCCTCTCTTTTGAGTAGAGACATCGTATGACCAAAAGGGCCATGTACCGTTGCATCCTGTATAAAATGAGGCTTTTTGTCCTCATCATTGTTGTCTGGTGAGCCCGGAATTGATATGCGAGGGACAGGAACAGTGATGTTTAGAACTGATAATGCTTCGCCTAGGTGTGGTAGATATGGAATCGTGTTTCGGTGGCTTTTGATAGTGATTGTTGTATTGGATCCTTCGTTAAAGCATCAGCGTAGTCCACCACGTGTATGCATACCATCGAGGAGGAACTGACCTGATATATAGGATGAAAGCAACGCCCGTCCTGCCTCGACGCCATCTACTCCGTCTGCGTCCAACGGGCACCAAAAGAAGTCGATGGGCACGTAACTGTTGTTGCCGGGCCGAATAGAAATATTCTGAGCGGTGATGTGGGCCACAGAAGTGTCATTGTAGAGTATGAGAAGGTCAATCAAGGGGACTGTGGCCGAGTAATTCGTTGGATTGGTAAAGTTTGCTTGTGTAGACACTAACATCGAAGATTCAGTCGTGTTCTTAATCTGTAGTGAGACGACGCGTGGATTGATTTGGTCAAGTGAGTTGCCGAGAGAAGCTATGACATAGTCAATGGCCAAAATATTCTTCATTTGTACTAAGATCTTCTAAATCATGAAAACATACTCTTCACGGGTACCTTCCCTTCCGCAGGAATTCCTCGTACCGCGAAGCGGCCCAAACCAGTCGAGACCTTTGTGTCTACAGTGGCAGCAACCCGCAGTATGACTGTTTCGCTACCGAAAAGCATTGCTTGAATGACCTCTGCCAAAAGACCGTCATCTGTGACTTGCAATGGTGCGTCTTTTATGGCAAACTCAACAAGGAGTGCAGATGATCCATCTTCATCATCCACCATTGTGGAGTTGGCATCTTGCCAGTGGCTGATGTTCAACACACCAAACTTCTCTTCCTTGTAGTAGACATCTGCAAGGGCACGGACTTGCGGGACTTCTACTTGAAAATTCATCTCCTCTGGCAAAGCAATGAGGACCTTCACTAGAGCAGACACTGTGGGTTGTGATTCTGGAGAATCTGGCTCCGCGAAAGGGTTAGGAAGGGAAAAATGAGTATCGGACATTGTGAAGTTCTTCATGAGGTTGCCCAACGCATGTCCCGTGAATGGAAGAGGCACAGTCACGCTGCGCAACAAATCAACAATCCATGCCGGGGTATTGGGCGATGGTGCATCAGATCCACGAACAAAAATAGTCGTTTCAAGACCTTGCATGAAGCTCGAAACCAAAAGATCTAGAGGAGAGCCATCCTGTCCTGGGCAGGTAGAAGTCAATTCACCGGGTAGCTGTTGGATAAGACCATCAACACCGACTGCAGTTGCCTGGCCAGGGTGAACGTCCACTGCGCTTGTCTTTGCATCGGCCACCAGAATATAAGGATCTCCTGGCGAACAATTGGGCACCAGAATGTCAAATCCAAGGGCAGGAACTGTGAGAGCGAAGGGAGAATCAATCACAGACGAAAGTAAGACATCTACTGCCATGGCACCACTGTCTGCATCATGCACATTCAGCTTGAGGATATCAATTTTTGGCAGAGTAGGGAAGTCATGTTCTGCAAGGGGGTTAACTCAGATGTTCCAGTACCAAAAAAGGACAAATATACTTTACCTTCAATGATAATGTAATCCGTCAAAATCTGAGTTCCTAAAGTGATCAATCCTGACTTGAGATGCATCGTTGCCTTGCCCTTCACACTAAGGCGGCCTAGTCTTCCCTCGATCCAATCAATAGCTATCGCGTGGATTCCTCGAATGTCACCAGCCTCTAGATCAGTGAGGAAGTCGACATGGGTATGGTGACCGTTACGAATGTTCACTTTGATAGATGGCAATGATGCGATTCCGACAAGCACATTCCCATATTCTGGGAGATAAACTTCAACATTCGATGGCCCCGTCTCCACTTCCCTGGCAATCCATGTCGCCAACCGACCAATACCTCGAACGGATTTAGTCTTCACACGACCTGAATCCATCACGAAGTCGCCCTGAACCCGGGCTCGAACGCCCTCGGATGTCGTAGAATCAATCGATACTGCCGTCGGTTTAAAGATAGCAGCTTGTTGTGCATATTCTTTGACCGCCGCCGGAGCAGCAAAGGCGAGTACAAGTATCGTCAAAACACTGAGCGTTAAAAGAGCGAGAGAGATGACCGTCGGCCACGGTACGTGGCTCCGCCTCTTGATTGCAGCATCCTCGGGCGGGTTCTGTGATGCGAATGAAGAGGATCGCGACAATCCTTGTCGGGTCCCGTAGATCAGTTCATCTTCACGGCGGTGTAATAATGGTGTTGATTCCGATGACAATTCATATGATGGCCTAGGCTCGTCGAGAGATGTTCTCACGGTGGGCCATTCAGGGGGGCTAGACGGTCCATCCAGCAGAGGTCGGCTAGCGCCTTCAGAAGCTGCGACTTGGGATGTATTATTACCCTGAGCCCCGCCAGAAGAAGGTCGCGATAGTCTCTGCTCGCTGCTATACACCGTCATGTCATCTTCATCTTGTAAAATATTGGAGGAGTCTGTTGATAATTGATTTGACGGCCTGAGCTGGTCGTCGGAGGCTCTTTCGGAGCCAATCTGCGTGGCTAGCAGAGGCCGGTCTGCCTCGTCAGCCATCGTGGCCCTAAATGTACTGATAAATCAAAATGAGTTGTAACCAATGGGTCTAATAGCAGTCACATCAAAAGGATGAATCCAAATAATGTAACACAGAGAAAGAGAGAGAGGGAGAGAGGCAAGATGTAACCTTCCAAGGAAGAGGCGCTCCCTCGATGACGATAAGCCGATGATAACGGAGCCATGGAACTGTGGAGAGATCGACACCTTGACGCCTGGATTATTAGGCGCCAAGGCATCAATGTCCTCGCACATCCACCAGATTTATTGAGTCACTCTTCTTCATTTTTAGGGCCCCATTCTTTTTCCCTTTCCCCCAACACTCCAATTCCTCACCAATAAACCCCAGCTCATCATGGCTAGTGGTCTCACAGCTGCCGCACGTTACGGTGCCCAAAGTGTAAACCAATTGGCCGGCTCCACCTCATCTTTGCGTCGAACACTCCAGGCTAATGGAATCCGACGATTTGCCCACCAGACACCGACTTTACCTCCCACCTCCCCTTTCGCTCCTCGTCACCTTCTCTCCATTGCCGACTTGACCCCCACGGAATTCGCTACCCTGGTCCGCAATGCTGCGTCGCACAAGCGTGCCATCAAGTCCGGAGCCATTCCGGAACGCCTATTGGGATCCCTCTCCGGAAAGACCGTGGCCATGATGTTCAACAAGCGCAGTACTCGCACCCGCGTATCCACGGAAGCCGCCACCGTCCAAATGGGAGGCCACCCCATGTTCCTCGGAAAGGATGACATCCAGCTCGGTGTCAACGAGTCCCTCTACGATACCTCCGTCGTGATTTCGTCCATGGTTTCGTGCATCGTTGCGCGTGTCGCCAAGCATGAGGACGTCGCCGGTCTAGCACAGCACTCCACTGTGCCTGTGATCAATGCGCTGTGCGACTCCTTCCACCCGCTCCAGATCATCGCCGACTTCTTGACTATCTACGAGACTTTCCCGTCTCAGGCACACAAGCTCTCCAGCCTGGGTCTGGAGGGTCTTAAGATCGCTTGGGTTGGTGATGCGAACAACGTTCTGTTCGATCTGGCCATTGGCGCTACTAAGATGGGTGTTGATATGGCTGTTGCTACTCCCAAGGGCTACGAGATCCCTGCGGATATGATTGACATCATCAAGCGCGCTGGTGAGGGTGTCCCCAATGCTGGCAAGCTCACCCAGACCAACGTTCCCGAGGAAGCCGTCAAGGACGCCGACATCCTGGTTACGGATACCTGGGTCTCCATGGGCCAGGAGGAGGAGTCCAAGAAGCGCATGAAGGCCTTCGAAGGCTTCCAGATCACTGCTGATTTGGCCAAGCGTGGTGGCGCTAAGGAAGGCTGGAAGTTCATGCACTGCCTGCCCCGCCACCCGGAGGAAGTGGATGACGAGGTTTTCTACAGCCCGCGCTCTCTGGTCTTCCCGGAAGCCGAAAATCGTTTGTGGGCGGCTATTGCCGCATTGGAGGGCTTCGTTGTGAACAAGGGAAAAATTGTGGAGTAAAAAGCGGTTAATTACGGAGTCTATAGAACATATCCCGAAGTCCCAGTGTAATTTTCTTTTCTCGACTTTACCCAGCCAATGACCAGGATGATGATTTGATATAGTGGAGTCAGCCACAATTAGGGTTCTCAACTGCCGGTGAGCCAATCAAAGGATGATCCGACTGCCTTGGGGCTTTCGGATGTGGCTGCTCTAAAAATGGGGCCTTCCGACTCTATACCCAGACTTCATTCTGTTCTCATGCAGATATTCCATATTGTACAATATAACTAGTTGTGAACTATCTCGGATTTTCAGGGCTGCGTCAAACAAAATATATACATAGATACCATATCTATGTTTTATATTGAGAGTTACTCAGCGTGACTGAATCCGACATCACTGTAAGTGATATATAACAGAATATGCTCACTGTTACATGTCCCGCTTATTCGTTGAAATCTCAAGATTTGGAAAATATGGTATGTATACCACATCAATGTCTATTGAAATTCGGAAAATTCAAGGTAAAACGTCGGAATCATTGCTCACCCCACACTTCGCCCTCCGAAGGGCGTCTCAAAGATGGTTGATCGGGTAATCCATCAGAGGAGCCCTGAGGGGGAAGTCCGAGCAAATATATATAAAGCTTTCTTGAGAACCTCAAGTATCGACCATCACTCTCTTTTCAGGACTTCCAAGTTGCTCCGCATTTCATTATCAAAATACCCCACATTTACAATGGGCTTCGAAGACAAACGAGTCGCAATCATTGGTGGCGGCCTAGGAGGCATGTCCTTCCTCAACGCCGCACTGTATGTTGGCCTGAAGAACGTCCAACTATATGAACAAGCTGTGCAGTTTGGTGAAGTCGGTGCCGGCGTAAACATCACGTCGAACGCAAACCGAGTTCTAGATGCCTTCGGCCTGCAAGAGAGCATGATGCGCAAGTCCTCACGCAAGCTGCCCAGCTATATGGAATACCACAACTACAAAACCGGAGATGACATAGGTCACATTGGTGAATTCTCGCAGCCCCACGCGCGCCTGCTGCACCGCGCCCACCTACTGGACTCATTGAAGGAGCGTATTCCTGAGTCAAGCCTGAACTTGAGCAAGCACCTAGTGTCTGTCAACCGTAACGCTGCCCCCAATGCTGCACCTTACACCCTTCATTTTCAAGATGGCAGCACCGCCGAGGCAGATATTGTGATCGGCTGTGATGGTATCAAGTCTAATGTGCGCCGGGATATGGGGCTGGGAGATAGCCCCATCTACTCGGGTCAGGTAGTGTATCGTGGTTTCGTCGACTACAAGGACCTGCCCATTGAGACAGCGCAGCTTCTGCGCAAGACAGTTAACTTTCGTGGGCCCAAGCGACATGTCTTGATCTTGCCTATTGGTAATCAGGAGACGGAGACCGATCGTGCTGCTGTGATCGGTTTCATGTCTGAGCCGCTTGAGGCATGGGACTCTGAAAGCTGGATGTCCCGCTCAGATATCGATAGTCTGCATCAGCACGTCCATGACTGGTGCCCGGAGGTGCAACATATTATTGCCGGTTTGCGCAAGAGTTCAGAGGACGGCAAGATGCTCAAGCAGGCGCTATACGTGCGCAACCCAATCGATAAGTGGTATGAGATGAAGGATGACCAGAAGGATGCCGGTATCATTTTACTTGGGGACTCGGCGCATTCGACTCTTCCTCATCAAGGTACGTTGTATCCGATCTTCGTCTAGCCCTAATGCGAGACATATGTTAACAGCATGTTATAGGTCAAGGAACATGCATGGCAATTGAATCTGGCATCGCCCTTGCAACGGTCCTTAGACACTGGAAAATAGATGACTTAGAAGCTGCATTCAAGTTTTACCAGGACCTGCGCAAGCCGCGGACAGACCGGGTCACAATGACCAGCTACGAAGCCGGCAAGCTGGCTAGCTCAGACTCTCCCGACCAGATGTCCAACAACTTCAACCCGGATGCATTGAAGGAGCGCATGAAGTGGATTATGGAGTACAATGTTCTCGAAGACTTGAGGGCCAAGGGTCAGGGATATTTGGACTTTGGAGATTCGAACCTGTAAGCGATCATGATGTGTATTGATATATTCGTTCAGATAGTGAAATAGCTATGTTGTGCAAATAGATAACCCTTCAGTTTTCCATACATAAAAACTAACTGCACCAAACGAGCACTCATCATGCCACAATTGTATCGTCGTATGATTGGACTGTACCAGGCCTCCTCGCAATGTTGGATGATTTTTATAGATCCGTCATCCATAGGTCATTCCACCTCATTCTGCTCATTTATGTTCAACAAGATTCCAATCTATCTCCTATTCATCATTTATATATCTATCCTCGGGCACAAGAACTTCAACACAATTGCCGGGGCTCGGCCGCTTTCACATGCCAACCGCACGTGCAGCAACTCCGCATTTCTACCATCTCGATCTCTTCCTCTCTGATTCTGCTCGAGGATTCAGCTGGAAAACTCACGATGGAGGTAAATTACTCCCTGACCTTAAAAAAAAGACATAAATTGGAGATTTAACGTGGCATATATATAGTCCACCACCTCGGGAGGCTTCCGGTCCCGTCGCTCATACCCATCCCTTCACCATATCTCTCTAGCACCCTTAAACCCACAGTTTCCCATTGACGACGACACAGATCCAACCGACTACTTCAATCACCGTGACTATGATACTCCCGCTAGTGGTACCCGCACACCACCAGCATCATCCTATCTATCCAGCCTCTCAGTCCCAAGCACGCCACCGATCCTCTCCCACTCACGTAGCAACTCGCGAAGCCGCCACCACAAGCGCAGCAAGACCTCTACAGGGGCAGGCCCCTTTAGTGACATGAATCTGCATAAAAGGGAGCTAAGCCATGCCCTCCACCACATGCAAGACACACACAAGAAGCATCACAGCATCTCTCATTTGCAAGGACGACGCCCCCTGTCGGACAGCACGCCGAAATCCAAATCCGACACAGAATGGATGCTTCGTGCAGGCATCGCACTAGCATCCTCGACGCGCGAGGAAAAAGGCCAAAGCTGGCTCTCTAAGCGCGAGAGCTCAACAAGCCTCACACCCTTCGACGAAACACCCACCAACCGCCACCACCACCGCACCAAATCAGGCGCCTCGTGGCGCGTTTCTCGCTCCGGCGCCTCAACCCCAGGCGGGGCCGGCGCCCTCTCCCGTCGCGCCTCCCGCTCCCGCGCCGGCAGCAGACGCGGCAGTAGAGTCGAACTTACCATGACCTCCCTTCCAGCGGTATCATCTAGCTCAACGACAGCAGAAAAGGTATGTACCGGGTCGGGAACGAACACAGGTACCGCCACACGCACGGCAAGCCCCGAGGCGCGCGGCCGTAGTCCCCTTGTGCCGGACTTCGTGGACGCACATCTCCGCGCGGAGATGGCATCGCTACAGCACCGCGAGCGCGGGTTAGATGAAGACTCTGTGTATTGGGAGGGAGCGGGCTCGGGCGAAGAGGACTCTTCGTCTGAGTACTCGTGTAGCTCTGATGAGACTCCGGATGAGTTTGATGAGGCGGATTTGCAGCAGCTGACACGTGAGCGTGGGTTCGGGCTCGGCTCTTGGATTGATCGGTTGGTTGAGTGGACGCTTTTCGGGGTTGAGGAGTGGCCTACTGCTGTGCCTGCTGCGGCTGTTTCGCGTATTGGTACGGCGGATACTACTACTACTGTTACATTTGAGGAGCCTATTTTTGTTTCTAGGCGAGATGACGATGGGCTTTCGCTTGGCTCAGTTGGGGATGAGGACTTGTCTGATGATGCGGCGAGTTCTACCGGCGGTGCCGCTCCTATTGAGAAGCCTGGAACCCAGGGTGGGTGGGAAGATGCTGAGTGGTTGTTGCGTTTGATGAAACGGGTATTGGTATGAATTATGAAGTGTATTGAGTGATGCTCTTCATTGGGAGGGTTTTTGCAAAGCTTTGTTTCGATTGGTTGTTCGTAATTATTTATTAGGGGTTTTTTTTTTTTCAGAATAACTATGAAGCTGGCTATACATGGCCAAGCAAAAGTCCTCAGTGAATAGGGAAATAAATTGGAGTCTACGACTTTTTGTCTAAAAGATTTGAGAAAATTGATATGATTCCAATGAAACAAGCTAGTGTGCATGAAAGGGCCTCTCAACGGGCAACTTATCTAAAATATGTCGCGCGATATGACAGGACCAGAACGTATCTTGGAGACTGTGGATGGCAAGTGTTCTTCTTCTGATAGAACAGGTTAAAATCTTCGCCAACTTCTTCAAAGCTAAAAAGTGGAAGGGTTATATCTGAGAGCCCAAGACAGAAGTTATCACACTTGACACGAATCATTGGAAGATGCGAGGAATATAATGGCACCAGAGATTAGTACCGAGTCCCAAAAGAAACAGGCAAAGACAACCCATAACAGCAAAGGGGAAAAGACAATTTGAGGTGAAAGAGGACAATGCGACACCAGGGCGCCAGTAGAGATAGAAAGAGAGTATCAAAGTTGGAATGAAGTACACAGACGAAAGGATTTGACAGAAAGAAAATAGGAAAGGAAGGGCGATGCGTCGAAATGTGTGAATCGGAATACGATCAATGAGCAAAGCAAGTTTGGAAGATAACCCTTGGAAGGTACTGAGGTTGAGTTCATTGAAAGATTTGAGAACAAACAAGCTATAACAGCATTTATCTTCCAAACTTCCAGCCGAAAAAGAGGACAGAACAAAAAAAAAAAAAGGAAAAGCTGTTAGGTTATCCGCCTTGAGTATTGAGTACTATAACGCCATCTGACCATGTTCTAGGGTCATGCAGCAAGGTATCGTGATCGTGACATACGTCGAAAATTGTGCGGTCAAAGGGGTATGGACCGTCGGTCAAGCTCAAATGAGAGCTGGCATGGGTAGGGAGAAGGTGAGGGGCCGACACTCGAGCGGTGTAAATGTAGTGGTCTTTCGTAAGGAAATCGGAGTGGCGTAATCTATCACCAAGGTCCGACCTTGACTGGTGTTCCCAGCCCGTAGGTTCCGGCGAAGAGCTGATCTCGGATGGAGCCCATGTCGCTGTTGGCCCCGTGAGATGGTGTGTCGGGTCCGTTCATCCATCCCAAGCTGAAGCCGAGTTCGTTGACAGCTCCCTGTAGCTTTCCTCCAGACGTTTGGTTGTGCTTGGCCAGCTTCTGATCCCAACCTCCGTACTGCAACTGGATACCACCGCCTCTTTTTGCCGCTTCACGAATGACCAGAACCCATGCCTTGCACATCTCGTCATAAGCTGAATCTCGTTCGATGTTATTCTGTGGCGTGCTCCACCGAGGCAAGGCATGAATGATGTCGGTTGCCCCATCTAGGTAGCTCAAGGATGTGGAAGCTTGCGATTCGTTTGGAGGGAGAAAGTTGGGGGTAAAATCACTCAAGGCGTCAAGAAGGTTGCTGAGCGGCTGCCGGACTCGGTTATAGGCATAATCTGATTCGGTGTTGCCACCCAACGGGAATGACGACTGGAGAGTGGCCTGATAGTTCCGAAGGACTTGAAGCGTGGAGGAGACATTTGGACGTGGGGATGTATGCACAACCTCTTCGACGAGTTGAGGGTGACGTTCGCACATGGTCCGTACAACCGTCCGCAAGGCATCTGTGTCGAGGGTCTCTAGCAGACGGGGTAGAGGTAGAGGTCGACCCGAAACATTCGGTCGGGAACGTTTGATGTTGCGGTAATTGTGAGGAAGTTGTCTAGGAGTGAAGGCAGGAGAGTTTGTAGGCGAAGCAGACATGCGTCCATCATGATCGTTGTCTTCATCAGCTTTCCGTTTACGGCTGGCATACGACGATGTAGGTGTAGACACTGACCGATTTGTCAGTACATGAATGTATCAAAAAGCCGTCTTAACCAAAACAGAGACAAATTCTTTCAATGTCGGGAAAGGGATATCTTACTCATACGGGAGGGAGAGAATCGGGGGTTCTCGTAGAAGTGAGGCGGAACAGGAGGTGTAGCCACCAAGCTGTTCATGATGACAGCCGGATGGCGAAATAGAAATGTGATGGTCCAAAGGACTCGGATATCCAAAAGAGTGAAGAACAGCAATAAAGCGAAGCAGGTAAAAGGGTTTGAAGTGGGGAGAGAAGGGTAGAGAAAGGTAGCGGTGGAGAAAAAGTAGGCGTTGCAGGTGGCAACGCACTCCCTTTACGCAGCTTTGGGGGATCTGTGCCCTTAAAAGGGATTGGACATGGTTTAGAAATAAATTCTGATTTTTTATGAAAAAAGATCAGATGTCTTTCTTTTTGGTTTTATCCATGACATCTTAAAACAGTCAAATGTGTCAGACCAAGACTACACTGCTTTCGGGCAATACGAATACCCGCATCATCTACTCCGGGAATACTACATGTATTGTATTCTACATAGGGGGACAGAAAAAAAAAGAAAAAGAAATTGTGGGTAATCATATTCTTTGGACTCCAGCAATCATAAAATGGATATCGTATCTACAAGTACAGGGACTGGGCAGCAACTATATCGCGGCGGACCTTGCCTAGGGCCTCCTCGAACTTACTCTCCAGGTCTTCGCTGCCCATCACCTTGGCAGCTTGCGCCATCTGCCGCAAACACTCTTCCAACCGGCGGAAGACACGGATTAAGCTACCTTCATAGACATCGGTCATTTTGCTAGGATAGTTAGTAGACTGGTAGACGAATTGGGGGAGAAAATGCTTACCAGATATCTGCAAAAGACTTGCCCTGACTCCACTCATAGATCACCTCCATCAACTCCCAGTGGAAGCTCGTCACGTACTCCTCCTCATTCATAGCCATCTTAGACTCCTGCGACACCTTGGCAATGATGCGGGCCTGTGATTGGATCTCTTTCAGTGGCTTCGCCAACTCATCCTTGGTCAAAGCAGGGGCCTCCTTGACTTTTTCTTCAAACACGAAACAACTCATGACGGAAGCGATTTGCTCAGCAGTCAGGTTGTTGAAGAAACCATTGAATAGCAACTCACTCAGCATTAGCTCGTCACCCGTGCTAATCTCACAAGCAACACGAGCCTTCAGCTGCACGACTTCGGCTTCGTTGATAAATCCGAAACGACGGAGCACACGCTTGCGACACTTTAGCTCATCAAGCTGCAAGATCGACATGGCTTCTGTAATCTGCTTCTTTATCGCTTTGATCTTTGCAGTCAGGTCCACCTTCTCGGCATATTGCTCGTACAATTCAGTCAAACGGGGCGAATTGTGCAAAGGATTACTCAGGAGGCGAGACTCTAAAACCTCAATTTTCTTTGTGATGGTTAGTAGCGTGAATCATATTTGAGAGCAACGAAATCTCTTACCCGGAGTAGCTTCTTGAAACTGTCATCCTTGATCTGCATGTTCTCAATCGGATCAAGTAGCGGAATACCGTCTGGGAAGCGCCTCTTAACTTCATCAATAGACTTCATGACTTCATTCCGAGAGCTAGGCGACGTGATGTCCTTCGGAAGCATGATGCGAATATGAGAGATCTCTGTGATGCAGCTCAGCACAATGGGCACAACCTCACTGCGAGTCGGTTCCCCTTCCTTCGCGGGATGAACACCTGGCGGAAGATCTTGGAAAGATTTGGTGCCAATGGAAGACCCTTCTGAGATTCTCAGCAAGACGTCAACAATGTGAGATTGGTGAGGAGTGATTTTCTCGGTGTCGTTACTCGCTTGCTTGCGCTTCTTCTGGTTGATCACCACACCCCAACCGAAATCAGCATCTTTGTACTTGACGTGGATCAATCGTCCAGGATGAATGAAAGTCAAAGAGTAATTTGGGTGAGTAATAACATGTTGAACATCGTCGGCAAATGCATCCAGTTGCTTCCGTAGGTCGTAGTATTCGCGGATAGTCCCCTCATCTGAGATGATCATATTGGCGCGCTTCTCCTCGAGGCCCTCGAGCTCCTTCTCCAGGCCCGAAACGCTTCCAGTGTTCTGGAACTGCTTGAAGCATCGCTCGAGCATATATTCGGGCGAGATACCCTCCACACGCATCAGATTGAGGATCATGTTGTAGCCAAGATGGAATGCGGAATTGAGTCGGTCTTGTTCACCGCGCACGATCTCCTTTGCGACTGCCGGGTCCATCTCCTCTCCGACCATCATAATCACAATACCTCGGTCATCGAGACCTCGACGACCAGCACGGCCAGACATCTGGATGAATTCAGATGGAGTAACCCAGCGCTGGCTAGTTCCATCAAACTTGCGGACACTGGTGAAAACTACAGTCTTCGCAGGCATGTTGAGACCGATGGAGAAAGTCTCGGTTGCAAATAGGACTTTGATAAGACCCTCCTGGAACAGAATCTCAATGGTTTCTTTAAGAATTGGCAGCAATCCTGAGTGGTGAACACCGATACCTTGTTGCAAAAGCGGAAGGATGTTTTGGATCTGTGGCAATTGACGATCCTCGGGAGACAGCATTTCGATGGCGCTTTCGAAAACCTTCGACACCATATTTTTCTCGGAATCATCGTTGAAGGTCAATTTGCTCATCTGTAGAGCGCCTGCTTCACACTCTCGCTTGCTGAAACTGAAGACAATGACCGGGTTGTAGTTCTTGAGCATGATCATCCTAACAATCTTGAAGATATCCGATGGGCCCTTATTTCCACCCTTGTTGATTTGCTTATCCTTGCCCTTGCCCTTGCGTTTGGCTAAGGCGTCAGCCGGATCGTCACCTTTTTATCAGCGATTGCGCTCATTGCTTTCTGGAAATTCTCTTCGCGGAAAACTCCTTTTTCGTCCACCACGAGATGGATACCTTCTCCACCAGCGGGGAAGAAGTAATTCTGGAGTGGTGTCGGACGATAGTTGGTGTAGACAACGTGGCAAGGCTGGTTATGCATCTTCACGATCCATTCGGCGAATTG